AAACGCGTGCCCAAAATTCTTTCCGACTTTTAAAGAATAGAGACCACAAATTAAAAATTCTCTCACTTATAGAAACTGAAAGATTCTTGTGGAAGATTTCTCTACTCAGTCAAGTTGTTCTCAGTTATTGCGACCAAGTTTCAATACAGCCGAATGCTCAATCCTGTCGATTGTAATAAGAGAGATACGATTTCACGTCGCTGCGAATTTTCCTCTATTCAATCTCACGAGCTGAGATTTCTCTTCGGTGCAAAATTGAACGATCCTCCACGGGATCCTCTTCCACCTCCTCCTTCGAATTCACTTTCTGCAGTCTCTCGCGGGAGGGGAAACAATCCGACGCTCTCTCGGCACCTCCATTATATATCCGTGCGGGCCAAAGTGCATGAAACAGTTGACTCGAGCGTAGCAGCGCCGGCGAAGGCCGGTGGCGCGAACAGACGGAACAAGAAGAGAAGGAAGAGTCATGATCGAGCGGGACGACGTGAATAAAACGCCGCCGCCGACATAACGAAATCGAAAAATGGCGGTACACGAACGCGCAGAGAGAGACGGTACCGCGTCGTAGCCTTCGGGCTGGCCGCGCCGCAGGGAGCGCAGGACTTAACCGCAGACTCGAAAGCAATAAACCATAAAGCTATTAATGTTACGCCCTGGGATGGTTACGCCACGGTTATAACGTATATACGCGCGGGACTTATACAACCCCGCACGGATGTATCCCTCTCGCCCTGCGCTCTTGGACACCGAGCCCGTGGTCTCGGGGTTGTAGTCCACCGATCTCGATGACAAAGCGATTCGTCGCGAACCACGGACGAAAGTCCGACACGGCCGCGCCGGGCTATGAATTAGAATACATTCGACGTCAGAATGACACGGCGCGCTGCGGAGAAGAGAAGTGGCCGACTCGTATTGCCGGTCGAATCGATCGCTCGTTGATCCCGACGAAGGTCGGACGAAGGGGTTGAGAGAACTGGTCGGACGGAATATTACGGGAGATTGTTTTCGTATTGAGAACACACGCGCGACGCGGAGCGTTATCGGATGATTTGTAATGGAATCGTTATTCCAAAGGGGTAGAATAACGCGATTATTATTGTTAGGCGATATATCGGGCCCGAGTTTTCTCCCTGTGCCTCCTTATCCCCTCCGCAAAGTCCGTCCTTGTGCTCGTCGGGTCCTCTTCTTTTTCGACTCTTTCCCTTCGAGCGAGTTCCAGCCGATAGTTATTTCGCGCGTTTACGATACCCGGGTTTTATTTCGTCGGGCATTTAGCCGCAGGGCGCTTTACGGGACCAGGAGGGCGAGAGGAAGGTCGAGTGGGACCTTAGCACCCAGGAACGGTCTACAACGGTGGAGATTGCGAGTGGCTGGACGGTATCGATGTTTACGAGCTCAAATAAACGCCGCCGCCGTCATCGACGTGCGGTTATTCCGTATTACTTTGGGCCTTTAACGGCAGAAGAGGGTGGCATCCTAAAGTGCTGTATAAAAATCAACCCACTCCTAGAAGGTGGTCGAGGGACCACGCACAACTCGGTGCGACGTGCTGCTCACGCGTTCACAAAAGAAACCTCACCGCGGGATTTCGGCGTCTGCCGGCCGCTTGTTCCTCCACGTCTTACGTCTTCCTCGCCCCTTATACTTCGCGGTTTTTGTCAGATTTATCGTTCGTGCATTTCAAACGCACACGTGAGATTTTAAACCTTCGGTTGCCACTCACTCTTCTTCATCGTCGGCCAGACGATTTTCTTTGATTGGCAAGTAATAACGAATGCACGTACACGCGTCTTCCTCTCATCCCTCGTAATCGGCAGCTCTCGCTATTTCTTGAGCAATTACCAAGTACAATTGCTCGATTAACGAACAGAACGAACTCGAACGCGTTCGTCATCTTCCAGCATCGTCGAGCTGCGACAACCAGTTCTGGCATCTAATGAGGAAGGTGGGTTTCCCAAGAAGAGCCTGCGGACGATGGCAAGGAAAGTGTTATCCCTGCCACGCCCGTAATCAATATCGCCGGCATTGTCTTCGGCTACGGTGCAGGCGTCGTAAATTTGGCAGAATGTTAATTCCGCGCTCGCGCGAGAGCGAGCGAACGAGTGGTCGGGCGGCCGGCCGGCTCTCGCCGGGCAATTTTCGCAGCCCCGCCGTCGGGGATAATCACCACGTATCTGCCGCGCTGTATCCCCGGTCCCGAGGATCTAATGATGAATTTCATGCGGGAGAGAGCGAGCCTCGGAGGTTGGAAAACGAGAACGTGGAACGTGTCGGCGCGCCGACCTTAACCGACACTCTTCTCCCGGCGAACCTCCACTTTCCTCCTGTCTAAACGTCCGTATGGCCATCACGCTCGTGGTGTTCCTTTTTATCGGGCCACCTTCCACCCAGCACGCCAGCACGCCGGCCCATAAGTCCCTCTCGACGTGTCGGTTCGAATCACCATTTGTTTCGGCCTAGCTCGTAATTCGTTTACGCCGGATGGCGTCTGTCGACTGCGCCAGCTATAAAAATGTCAAGTCGCGCGCGAGCGCGATGAGCAGATCGCCCATTTTTAACATCTATGACCGCATGGGCGCTCAAATGAAACGTGAAGTCAAATTTATTCCAAATTTCTCGGATATACGGTTATGTCCTTTAAGAAAGATCCGTCGATGAGAAAGGAAGAGTCTCCTTGCCCACGTTGAATTCGCAATTCGTTGGATTCCTGCTATTTCGTCGCGGTTTCGCGCGTTTCTCCACGGAGAAGAACATGAAATGTATAGTCCAATAAATACTCGCGGCACATTCGGTCGGCTCCTCCTTTGACGCGTTGATTAATTTAATGGCCATCATCTCTCTCTCTCCCTTTCTCTTTCTCTCGAGATAGACTTCGAGGAAAGAAAGTCTCGTTTGATAATAAAAAGCCGGCTGGGCCGAGCCATAAATCCTGCGATTTCACAGCGGTATATTCCTCCGTATACGAAAAATCATCGGGGCGATATTCCGACGAATATTCGCCATACCTCTTCATTATGACGATCAAGTCGTTCATCTTCGATGCGACTCGAGTTGTGCGCGAGGACACGAGATAGGCCGGCAGAAAACCTCACGGGGCCCCATCGCCGATGCAGATCCACGCACGATCCGCATTCTCGAGGCTTCTGGCGCCATGCCACGGTGCGCGCATTTGGCATCCCGTGACTCTCGCCGGTAGCATCTGGCCGGTACAAATACCCAGTGCTCGAGTTCGCGTCCGCACCGCTGCTTCTTCTTCCCTTTCTTGACTCGCTTGATCTCCGGCGTCGTCGACGACGAGGACGAGGACGACGAGCCTTCTTCTGCGGTACGCCTCTCGTATGCGCTCGCGTCCTTACCGCGCAATTATTTTCGCATGATTCCGATCGCCGGTCAGATTAAGATTGCCCTTTCGGCGCCGCATGCCGATCGCGGATCGTTTCGAGGCGGCAGCTCGTTTCCGAAGGATCGGGACGAAGGATGTGAGCGCGGCTGAAGCCGCGAGCAAAACCGAATTCCGGAGGAGCGGACGTGCGACTATGCTCCCTCTCGGGAGCCCGCGGTCGTTTCTTTACACGGCGGGGAAGGAACTTGGACGGGGTTATTTAATAAAGGCCTTGAGTCCTTTTTTACATACGTTTCTCCGTCCTGCATTCGGCGGAGTTCGTTCGTCGATCAATTTCCGCATGACCCTCCTCCAGCTGCAATTTTTTTAGCAGATTTACGCACTTGTCTCGTACTTCCTAATTTCGTCAGAACGCACGGAGCAACCGCGTAGCACAAAAGTGGATATTCCGTGTCGACCGAACGGCTTTCCTTAGTCGTGCTGCCAAGCGGAAACCCGACGCTCCACTATAAGAAGAATCGTAAATTAATTTTATTTTGCGCATGTGTGCGCGAAAGTGGCTCTCGCGCGGCACTTGGGTAGAAACGCCCGTAGATGCTGATATTAATTCTCGCGGATACGTCGTGCTTAAACGGACACTTTTGCCGACGACGACCAACGCGTCTCGTCGGCGCATTGCCATCGCGCGCTCGTACGGGAACGCCACAGTCCGTTCCGTAAGGCCGCAAATGTTTGTCATAACTTACGCGCGAGGTACGCGCCGATCCATTCGAGTGCAGTCTACTCCGAACGGTAATTGCACAACAGAATCACGCCGACCGGCGCGTGTACGGAGCCGCTTTACGGAGGTGGTTCGCCCACCGACGCGATACGCGCGCATAGAACGCTACTTGTGTGTCGCGGGTGTGTGCCGTTGATGGTGTGGGTGGTGATACGAACTAACGTAATCGGGAATGAGTGAGGCCACGGTTTCGTCCGGGAGTCCCAAGTCGACCTCGGTATATCTGCACGGAGAAAAAGGACTTGCTGCAGCAGCAAACTAATTTGCTATATATGGACAATTAAACATAATTCACTGTGTTAGGTACTTTTTCTACAGATACTTGCTGCAGGAACCTATGATAACAAGAAAATCTGCTCGTACAGCAAGAAAAGTAGCTAACGCAGTAAATTTGCTACAGATGGACAACTAAACATAATTTACTGCTTCAGCTACTTTTTTTGTCGCAGAAGCAGATTTTCTTGTTATCTTAGCAAGGAAATTGGTTCCTAGAGCAAAGAAAAAGTGGCTAACACAGCAAATTATGTTTAGTTGTCCATATCTTTTTTTTTCTGTGTGACTTCAATTCGAAGCGCTACTCCGACTGATTGATAACCGTACTATATCGTGATTGTGAGGAGATATATTTATACCATAGATAAGAAAATATCGCTGGATTATTCTTCGTAGAGCGTAGATTAAGTGATTGAACCCGGTAACGATAATACTTTATGCTTCGATCGATAGGTTGCTTTATCTCAGTTCTTAATGTTCACCTCTAACTGAAATTTAGATAATGGATAAAAAAGACATTCTCAATGATTTCTACTCGATGTTCACGTGCGAGAACGAGAATTTCAGCGAGAATTAATTCGCGAATCCCGTTCATGCTTGCAGTCTGCATCGGTACCAATGGCCGCCTCTCCGTACCCTCCAACAAGCAGCACCACTACCGGAATCTTCGAGACCGGTACACCAACTGTACTTACGTCGATGGTAACTTGGAGATCACATGGCTCCAGAACAAAACCTTCGACCTCAGTTTCCTCCAGTATATACGGGAGGTCACCGGTTACGTCCTCATCAGTCACGTGGACGTACACAGGATCGTTCTGCCGAGGCTACAGATCATCCGTGGCAGGACCCTCTTCAAGCTCAATATTCACGACCACGAGTTCGCCCTCTTCGTTACAATGTGCCAGATGCACAACCTGGAGATGCCGGCCCTCAGAGGTACGTCGTTCTCACTTTTTCCTCTTGTTTGAACTAACGGCCGCACCACTAATATTTCATGTTGTAATATACGAGTAATTATATAATGATATCAATAATTATAATTATATTAATATATACAGGGTATCTCACCTAAACCAGGCCACCTAAATATCTCCATCAATTGTGACGATACAAAAAATATTTTATAAATTAAGTAAAATGAAGGTTAAATGAAGAGACCAATATGTTACACAAAAGATTATTTTTCCAAAATCATTTTTTTTTCGAAGTTTTCATGATCATCGATGTTTTTTTGCATATAAATGCATATTTTTTTTTATTGCATCGTGTAGCTGATGTTAAAATACATTTAGATATGTATATGACTTGACCTTTGACTCCGAAAATTAAAATGAAACTATCGCACTACGAATGACCTCTGAAAGCCTTAAGACTTGATCATTTCCAAGCAATTTATCAGTTTATTGATCTATCATTCGCGATGAGTTACTCAAAGCAAGAGAAAATTGAAGGAGATATTTAAGTGGACTGGTTTAAGTGGGACACTCTGTATATATATAATTATTATGCAAATCTTTAATATTTAATTAGATAATTAATATTATTACACGAATATCTCTTTAAGTAAATACGCAAATGGAATTAACGAACAACATGTTACGCTTAATTTAAACGTTCACGATCCGACGCTTGAAAGAGAAATTCAGCAAAATCCATTCGCGTCTAACTCACCTTGATTAATCATGCCGCAGATATACTCAACGGGAGCGTGGGCATGTACAACAACTACAACCTCTGCCACATCAAGACTATCAATTGGGAGGAAATAATTACCGGTCAAGGCGGCCGATACTTCTACGTGTACAATTTCACATCGCCGGAGCGCGCCTGTCCGGATTGTGACGCTAGCTGCGAGCAGGGCTGCTGGGGCGAAGGCCCGGAGAACTGTCAAAGGTACTCGAAGACGAACTGCTCACCTCAGTGCTGGCAAGGCAGGTGCTTCGGCCCTAATCCGCGCGAGTGTTGCCATCTTTTTTGCGCCGGTGGGTGTACCGGTCCCAAACAGAGCGATTGTCTTGCCTGCAAGAATTTCTTCGATGACGGCGTGTGCACACAGGAATGCCCGCCTATGCAAAAGTAAGTAGCAGCATTTTTGCTTTATTTTCGCAGAAAGATCCTACAACAGTGCATCCCATCAAAATTTTCAATAAAGTTCCGCCCACACAACTTTCTCGTTTCATTAAAAAAATGATCTACTCTCTTAATTAAGTCTTTCTCATGAAGATATCTTTGTAAAGGGTCGCCAATAAATTTCAAAGCAAGTGGATAATGCGCGAATAAAAAATATCGATATACGATAACGGGGAAAGTTTACTTATATATATACTCGTATATGCTTGAAATTACTTAGTGAAGTCGAGAAAAACACATATCGAAGTCTGAATATTAACGATTCTTTCAGGTACAATCCAACCACGTACTCCTGGGAGACAAACCCCGAGGGAAAATACGCTTACGGTGCGACTTGCGTGAGACGATGTCCAGAACATCTTTTAAAGGACAATGGAGCGTGCGTGAGGTCCTGCCCGCCGAAGAAGAAGGCGGTGAACGGCGAGTGTGTACCTTGCAACGGCCCTTGCCCGAAAACCTGCAAAGGCGTCGAGAAGGTGCATTCCGGTAATATCGACTCCTTCAAAGACTGCACCATCATCGAAGGTTCCATCACGATCCTGGACCAAAGCTTCCAAGGCTTCCAGCACGTTTTTCCGAATTATACGTTCGGCAAGCGATACGAGTCGATGCATCCGAACAAGCTCGAAGTGTTCAAAACGCTGAAGGAGATCACGGGCTTCCTGGACATCCAAGGGGATCATGCAGACTTCAAGAATCTCTCGTACTTTCGAAATCTTGAGGTGATCGGCGGGAGAACGCTCACGGAATACTTCGCGTCATTGTACATCGTCAAGACTTCCTTGGTGTCCTTCGGGTTGAACTCTTTGAAGAAAATCCTCTCCGGCTCCATCGCCATTCTGGAGAATAAGAACCTATGTTATGCGCAGAGTATTAATTGGACCAGGATCAAGAAGTCGCCCGAACACGAGTGTCTCTTGCAGAACAATCGAAACGAGAGCAAATGCAGTAAGTACGAAACTGAGGCTTTCATACAGTGTTACTTGAGCGAATTACCAAACTATCGTTGAGCTTGTATTTCGAAAGTCATACTCATACTGCGGTATATCGTTTTGAATCACAGTCAAGGACGGTTTCGTGTGCCACGAGCAATGCTCGGACGAAGGATGCTGGGGACCGGGACCGGCGCAATGTTTGTCCTGCAAGAACGTCAAACTGGGGAACGATTGCCTTCAAGATTGCACCGCGCCGGGGTGAGTTGACAAGCGTGGCATTAAACGAAATAAAAAAGTTGAACTTTCTCCAATAACGCATACGACTTCTGTCCAATCGAAATCGCTCTCCTAGATCGTGGATCGAAGGTAAATCGAAAATCTCCCGCGAGAGCTTAAGCGTCGATCTTCTTCATCGTTCTATTTATCATCTTCATCCATCCCGTAAGCAAGCTGCATCTGTGTGTTGTCCGCGCGGCACGTGCGCTTCCATCGCTTAATCGCTTCGAGTCCCACTTTTGTCAGTCCCTCATTGCTAACGCGAGTGGCGAACGACATGAACATTAATTGTACTCGATGAATCGCTCACCTGCGTCACTCTCTTCCCTCGTCATCCCACGTTTGTTGATTTTCTGCGCCATGTCTGTTTTGTTTCGCGTCGCTTTAATTTTCTTACGTATGCGCTCGATTTTACGTTATACTTTATTATACGTTATACGTTATTAACGACTAACGACCAATCGCAATCGTGTTGTCAGTATTTATCGAGCGGACGAGAAAACCTGCAAGCCGTGTCACGTCGAGTGCGACGGCTCCTGCACGGGTCCTAATGCCGAGCAATGCACCAAGTGCAAACACGTGCGCGACGGGCCGTTTTGCGTGCCTGAGTGCCCGTCCTCCAAGTACAACGACAACGGCGAGTGCAAACACTGCCACGAGAACTGCGTGGGCGGCTGCGAGGGGCCGGAGAACAACATAGGCGCCAACGGATGTCATAGTTGCGAAAAGGCAATTATGAACGGACACGTACCGGAGGGATGTTTGCAGAAGAAAGAGCCATGTCCCGATGGTAAGTCATACGATGATTTTTGCTTTACGACGATTCTTTCATCGATGCGTCTCGATACTTGCATTTTGTCACGGAAAACACAGTAATATCCTTTAATAATAATTAAAGGCTGCTCAAAGATCATAAAATTGTCTTGTTGTTTCATTGAATCTTCAAGCAAAGTTTCCGGGAAATTTATACGATGATCGTATAAACTTTGCTTCACGACAAATCGATCGCTGATGCGTTTCGATATTTATATTTTGTAACAGAAAATATAGCTGTAACGTAATAATTAAGAGCTGATCAATGATTATTTGTAAAACATCGACGGGAAAGTTGTCGCATTGTTTCGTCCGATCTGCGAAACTCCCGAAAAACGTTGCGTGACGTGCCGCTGTTAAAATTCGCAGGACATTACTACGAGTGGGTGAGTCCGCAAGAGCAAGGTGCTTTAAAACCTCTCGCTGGAAAGGCGGTCTGTCGCAAGTGCCACCCACGTTGTAAGAAGTGCACAGGATACGGCTTCCACGAGCAGGTGTGTCAACAGTGTACCAAATACAAGAGGGGAGAGCAATGCGAGGACGAGTGCTCCTCCGATCATTTCGCGGATGCTGACACGCAGCTATGCATACCGTGCTTCGGCGAGTGCCGAGGGTGCTTCGGGTCGGGCCCGCATCAATGCTACAAGTGCCGAAACTACAAAATTTACATCGTACGTAGAACAATCGGAGCGTTCATCTTTCTTATCTTATCACATAAATCCATATATATAAAATAAAATATCTGTCTGTTCTCTATATTCTCCTAAACGTTTTGATCGATCTAGATCAAATTTTGCATAATTATTCTCTAAGACTCTGCGTAAAATATAAACTATTATGAAACTTGAACATCCCGCTCCTTCCCTCTGATTTTACCCCCTTAACATTTTGTGATAATCTGAGCAACACCGGATAGTTTAAGCTAATATAATAATAAATAAATTATTATTTATATTATGTTATTATTATTATGTTACGATTCTTCACTTTTTCCAAACAAGTCACAAGTTGAAGAAAGTCACGTTAATCGCGTTAAATTTGCAAATTTTGCGTCTTAGGATGGCGATCCGGGTGACAATTCGACATCCTTCAACTGCACGGATACTTGCCCGTCGGAATATCCTCACAAGATCTTCCCGCCGGACAACGAGCCATACTGTTCAGTAGAGATGATAGGTCTCGGCTTCCAAATGGATAACGAGCTCAAACCCGCCATTCTGGTCGGAGTGATGCTCGTCATGCTGGTGTTTATCGTCACCGCCATTGTGACAATATACTTCTGGCGGATGAGAACGAAAGCCAAGGAGAACACGGTAAAGATGACGATGGCATTGACCGGTTTGGACGATAACGAGCCGCTTCGACCGACGGGCGTGAAGCCGAATTTGGCGAAGCTGCGCATCATCAAGGAAGAAGAGATGAGGAAGGGTGGTATACTAGGCTTTGGTGCTTTCGGCAACGTGTACAAAGGCGTGTGGGTGCCAGAAGGGGAGAACGTGAAGATCCCGGTGGCTATAAAGGTTCTGCACGATGGTACGGGTGCGAATACGTCCAAAGAGTTCCTCGACGAGGCTTACATTATGGCCAGCGTCGAACATCCGAATCTGCTGCAATTGCTCGCGGTCTGCATGACGTCGCAGATGATGCTGGTAACCCAGCTAATGCCTCTAGGCTGCCTGTTGGACTTCGTGCGCAGGTTCAAGGATAAAATCGGCTCCAAGGCACTGCTAAATTGGTGCACGCAGATCGCAAAAGGCATGGCATATCTTGAAGACAGGAGATTGGTCCACCGTGATCTGGCGGCGCGGAATGTCCTCGTGCAGACGCCGAATTGTGTCAAGATCACCGACTTCGGACTCGCTAAGTTATTGGACATCAACGAAGAGCAGTACAAGGCCGCGGGCGGCAAGATGCCGATCAAGTGGTTGGCGTTGGAGTGCATTCAGCACCGGGTCTTCACTCACAAATCTGACGTGTGGGCCTTTGGCGTGACTATCTGGGAAGTTCTCACCTACGGCGGCAGACCTTACGAGAACGTTCCCGCCCGGAACGTGCCGGAACTGCTGGAGAAAGGCGAGAGGCTGCCACAGCCTAAGATCTGCACGATCGACGTGTATATGATTATGATAAAATGTTGGATGCTCGACGCTGAGTCCAGACCGAGCTTCAAGGAGCTCGCAGAGGACTTTGCAAAGATGTCCAGGGACCCCGGTCGATATCTCGCCATTATAGGGGATAAATACATGAGACTGCCTTCGTACACACCGCAGGTGATTTGTGTTAACTTAACGAGACTCAACAGATACGATCTTTGTTGTTGAAGATAGATTTTATAAGATGATTATTTATTTATCTTCTTTGTTATACAAAACATATATATGTACAATTATATAATTAAATATAATTATAATAATTATATTTAATTATTATATATTATATGATTATTACATGCTAGTATCGAAATGTTCAGGATGAAAAAGAGATGATACGGAATCTCGCGTCAGCGATGGACGGTCCGGAAGCTCTGGTGGACGCCGACGAGTATCTGCAGCCTAAGTCACGGGCCCCGATTCCGCCCACGATCTCCGCGTCGAGTACTTCGGGCTCGCCGCCAAATACACCGGTGAAGTCGTGTTGGCCGAACGGCAAGCCGCTCGCCGCTGATTCTCCGACGCCACAGAATCAGCAAAACTGGGACCGGGAGCTTCTGAGATACGGCGGAACTCACGGGAACGGTAGCGCGTCGCATGAGGCAGGGAACTCCGGCCAACATACGCATTACGCGCATCCCAAGGCTCACTGCGCTCACGTCGGAGGGTCTGACAGCTCGAGTTCGAGATATTGCTCGGACCCGTTGAAGATGGTCGGCGTTAGAGGTAAGTAAAGGACATAAGATAGAAGAGATCTGTAAAGGAAACCTTCGTAAAAATCAATGAAACACTTGGATATCACATTATGTATCGCGTGTCAATATAGATGTTGAATTAAATCGCTGACTTGTTTGATTTCAGACTGCGATGTGACGGACGATTGTTTCGACACCGAAGTAAACTCCGTGCATCAGCAGGCTCAGGTGGGGAACCTGAAATTGGACTTACCGTTAGATGAGGACGACTACCTCATGCCGTCGCCGCAATTGCCAGCCAACACGACGCAATACATGGATCTCATCGGGGAATCTAAGCCAACGGGTGAGTGAGTGGAGGAATCCGTTGCTTGATTATTTGTTTCTTCTCCACTTATATAATTATCATATTGTTTTGTCACTTATCGTTTACTTTACAAAGTTGTCTCCATTTCTATCCTTTCTCTTTCAGAACCCGAACCGAAACGGTTGAACAACGGCTTCAGAAAGTATCCGGATTTCCTCACTATCCAAGGAAAGACGTCGTTGGACAATCCGGAGTACATAATGTCTCAGGACGAGGGTCCGCTCACGCCGCAGACCCTGGGTATCCCTACGCCAGACTTGGAAAAGGTGCTGACGAACGGCGCGTTCGGATCTCAAGTTAGGCAACGAAGTTCCGAGGAGGAGTCGGATCACGAGTATTACAATGACTTTGATCGGCTGGAACGCGAGCTGCAGCCGTTGAAACCTCTCAGGAAGAACGAGACGACGGTGTGATTCCGGGAGGATACGTACGGAGTACGCGAAACGAACTAACGATTGTTCCATGGGATCGGGATTCCGCTCCCGTGAAAATCCACTTGGCCGAGGAAGAGGATAACGCGATCGAACCTGAGAGTGGAAGTGGATCGAGTTACTCGGTTTCCGAAGAGGAGGAGGACCCATTGTACTTAGAAAAGACGCTTCGCTCAAGTGCCGCGCTTAATTGTGATTAGATTACATAAGCTAGAGAGACTCGAGTGCGTATTACGTGATAGTAAGTAAGACGAGAAAAGAGACTACGTGGACGCGCCGGAAATCGCAGGGATCGCGCGACAGCGACGTCCCTCGAACAAGTAGTGCAAAACTATTCTTAACGTGCCATTCGCCGTGGCTTGTAAATAACTCTTTTCGTATTAGCTTTCTGGAAGACGTGAGGAACATCTTAGGACTTAATTTACGACGACGACGTCTGAGATCGTTTCCGCTTAGTAGCTTCCCTCCGATTTAAATCCGAGACACTTCGGACAAACCAGCGTGGTCGCTGTTGAAATTTCGATAATACGGGGACCACTCGCATCTATTTTAGGCAGGTTCCTTATGTCGAACGAGATATTTGAAATATCCCGGGAAATCGCTCAAGAAAAGTTTTAACAAAAGTCTTCTAGTTGTTATATTTTTTTTTATTTTATCATTTTTTATAAACGCACGCACAAGTTCGCTCATGATAACACCTTACATCGTTGAACTCTTTCGCAGCAAGTGCAAAATTAAATATACTACCAATTGAATAGCCAATTAAAAGTATTTATACGATACTGAAAATTTCAATAAACTTTGAATATTATAATATTCAAAATATTATAATATTGAATATTATAATATTATAATACTATAATATATTATAATTATTATTTTATAATATAATTATGATACAATAATTATAATTATATATGTTATATTTTTATAATTACTGTATGTTATATATTAGAAATGTTATTCAATTAAAAGATTTTATTAATATACGGACTTGATCGAAAGAGTTGAGCAATGCATGGCAACGTATAGCAACTTGTAAAGGAGTTTTAATGTAGCAATTATGAAATGTCTCGCGTGTAGAATTGTGAACGTTAACTGGTCCCATCGCAAAGGTCGGCTGACAATAATGTATGATTAAATTTGACGAACAATTTCACTCGTTATTTTCTACGTGACTGTCATATATCATAATCAACACTAATCGATGTTAGTACAACCGGGTTGAAATGTTTATGCGGCACACCGCTGACTGTGATACAAATTACCTGAATTTCTCCCGACAAAACACCCAAATATCGCAGCGACAGCATCTTCCTTCTCGCGGATAAACGGGAATTTTTCATGAGAAAGTAGGACGCCCGAAATCGCTTTCGCACTGCTTCAGGAGCCCGCAGTAAGCTACGACAGCGGAGCGCGCATTGTCCTATTTTACTGCCGAAAATAAATTCGCTTCGCGTCAAAAGTCGGTCATGAACGCGATTCTACTTAAAGTACAGAGGAGAATAAAGAGATTCGACGGCGCTTTCCCCTCCTCTTACGCCATCGTTCTCGCGATGCAGGGTTAACGAAATTGGCCCCGAGCTGGAAATCACGAGAGATTTCGATTTTTATACACGAAACGCAATTTTTGTACATAGTTTACCAAGTAATGTAATAGACGGAAAAAAAGGGGCAGAATTCAATCGTGCGAGTAGAAAGACGGAGAGTACTTGAACGAAATCAGTAACCATATGTCGTCGTGTGACATCTGCGACTCGCGCTTAGCCGCGTCAAGTAATACGATAGGACGTGCCATGTTGTATGTACAGGAGAAATAAAGAAAAAGACAAAAGAATTGGGAAATATAAAATACATACGCGCGAAGGGGTGACACTTTTTCGAACGAAACGGATCTACATTGTATCTTTTAGAAATTTTCAACGGGAACTCTGTGTTGTACGGACCTTATATTTGTTGTAGATGAGTGCGGACGTGCGCGGGACTGACGATCTCTCTCGTCTCTGGAAGAACAATAACCCACATTTCACGAGTTAAACAACCAGCGTCATTTCACAGCGTCGCCCGAAAAATGACGTTAGTTGTTCTACGATCTTCCGCATCAGCCCAAAATTGTCGCGATCGCGTTCTGTGATAACAATGATGAAACAAAAAATCGATAGCAATTGCGAGGATTGTTCTGACAGTCGTTCCGCGCGCGAGAAACGAAACAATCCGCGTAGATCGTCCAGTCTCGCTGCGCGCCGCGCGGTATCTTATCCGTAACAATATAAGCCAATACATATCGTGTACATTGCGCGCATTGTGTTACTAATTAGTATTATTATTATTGTCATTATAATAGATCGGTTTTGTAATATATCGTTTCATTACGCCGCGTCTTCTAAAGCGCGAGAGGACAGAAGATGTCCTCTTTTTTCTCTTTCTTTCTTTCTCTCTCTTTCTTTCTTTCTCTGTCTCTCTCTTTCTCTCTCGCACATTCGGTCTCGCGTATGTAAATCAGACTGTAACTAAGCGTGTATCAATTAGAAATTGTACATTGTAATCGAACAAACCGACACGAAAAGAACGTTACGAGATCGTGAGAAATTGCATTTGCCATTCGGTTGTGGACATAGAACTTATAGATCTTTATTGTATATCATTATATAAATATAGATATATATATACATCGTAAAGATTTATTGTAATAAAGTAAATCACATTTCCACTGGTCGTGTATCATTCATTCACTCGTGCCTAAATACCTTAGCGACAACTTTTGGGATACGCGGTATATCGTTGCGGATTTATAAAATCTACATGTGAGGAAAAAACGTCGCAGTTTGCTGAATATTTTCCTCAATTAATTCTGAGAATCTTTTGCGTGCATACGTCATTCCCGCAAGATACAAGAGACGCGTATCATATAATTTTAGATCTAACGAGCACGCATGTTTACACTGCTCTCAGTAACTAATACGCCGAAATGTTATCTCTACAGCACGTTATTAGCGCATAAAGCGATTAGACAGATGAATAGTGTGAATACTTTAATTTCAAAACGATAGGAAATGTTCAAAGTGGTAGTGTACAGGATTATATGGAGATTGCACAATGATACACATCTCTAAATATACTGCCATTTATATCGCGTCTCCAGTCAATCGCTCACACTTAATTGTTAATCACACGATAAATCGCAAATATTTTTAACAAAAGTTTCCACGTTCAAAGTTTTCCATCGTTTCCTCATGTAGTAGTTGATAAAATAAGCTATTTTCATTTAACGGAAGACACGAAAGCCGAATCAAATCGAATTTTAGTGATTCGTAAAAGTACGTCGAATATTCGTACAGTATACAAAAGCGAACGTTCGGCAATTTTTTAGTATATTGTTTCACAATGTTGAAATCTCTCTGCTACGTTAACGCGTATTTGATATTTACAATTATGTCATAAAGATAATGCATATAAATACGCGGAAAGAACTGCTATAATTGCTGTATTTTCTATAATTGGAAAGAAAATTTATATTAATTTATTTTCAAGTAAATATTTCATTAAAAGTTGTTGCTATATTAATACAATTCTCATAGCCATATTCTTACAAAACATAATGTTCAGTTAGTATATTTTCATACATAATTGCCTCAATCAAAGGAATATTGCTGTCTTCCTATTGTGATCTGCAACACAGATACTATGATTGATACTATGCATAGGATTTGATTGTCATATGGTACTGAAAGTATCACTCAAAATATATGGACAAGCAGCAAAGAAAAGATGAGTATACCACTTCCAAATTTGTCTCATTTAACGATTATGAATCACTATAGATATTTATGATTAGTTGTCTGAAAAAAATATGAAATTATAAAATACAACTATAAACATGCAATTATATTAGTATTCTATTTTTATTGTTACATGTCTTTTAATCAAATAAAAGTGAAGAACAAATGATTTCAAATGTATATAAATTATGTAAATTATAAATCAAAAATTAAATATTAATTATAAATTATATTTACTGTAAGACTGAAATAAATTAAGAAAGCAATTTTATTTAATATAACTTTTTTACTCTTTAATATTGTCTTAGTGTTTTATTATGCAATTAGATATTTTGTACATTATCTATAAATTGTACATTATCTATAAATATATAATAATAAAATATGTAATAATTTACCTCAGAGTATTACAAATTATTAAAACTTCAAATTCATTCAGATTCACCCAATAATTCTTTTTCTTTGCTTTCCAACAATTGTTCAGCTTTACTCTTATATTGTTGACTAAGAATATCTACATAGTCTTCCATCCTGAACACCAGGTCTTTGGCTAATCCTTCCTGTTGTTTGAGTACCTTGATCTGCTTGTTGCGTATATCTCTAATATTATCACAACAATTTGTATAAAAGGATTTTGCATTTTTGGACAATGTTTCTCTGTATTCCCTTGTTACTCTGTTAACACAGAAATCAGTATAATTAATCTCCGATAATACTAAAAATTTTATTTTACAAGACAATATTTTAAATCTTACTTAGGAATAGGAACATAAATTGTAGTTCCATCCTGCTGTGGATTTAAATTCATCTGATTTTTTGACAGACTCTTGAGAACATTTGGGATAGCTTGTGGAAAAGTGGATATATCCAACACTACGAGTTTAGGTTTACGACTAATCTGAGCGAGCTCTTGCAATGTATAATCTTTTCCTTCAAACTTCACTTTTAATTCTTCCAGAGCACCTATACTTGATCTTACTGATAAATATTTAACAAAATTATCTTTCAAACCTTCAATAGCTCTGTCAAATTGAGAGGTTAGCTTATTAACATCAATAACTTGTTCCATCTCATTAAAATCAATACGTTTTGTCTTTTGTTTCTTTTTATCTTTGCCACGATCCTTGGCTTTTGCTAATACATAGGTCATAGAAAAGTGTCTTCTGTTATCATCCTTGGCACAAATATATTGTAAGTGTTTTAAAAAATTCCAGTGATAAAGAGTTTGCAGACACCTTTGCTGGTTTATACAAATTTCTTTACTCATTAAAAAATGACGGTAATTTGTCATCACTCTTAATGAGAACATTATTGTATGATTTTTTGACATAGTATTAACACAGAAACGCATTCCTATTATGCTTGCCATTTCCTTGTTATAAATTTTGCTCAAGTTGATAACAATATGATAGTATTAGGATATTGTAATATTAAAAAATTTGATATAATTCTAATGTTTATTCAATAGTTTTTTATTCTTATTTTCACTTAGCAAAAACTATCGTGCACAAGTTGGAGCTCCACTTGTGCTCTTGAGAGGTTAAGATATCTAAACTGCCGTAATGTTTCGAATAAATTTCTCGACTACAAGAAATAGACAAAATTCAACAAGTTGTAACTTCTGTAAAAATAATGATGTCGAAACGATTCAAGAAGCATTTTACAGCTTAATTTTCAAATATATTTCTGAATATAACATTTATTTATTTATTACAATAGTACACGAATATAAAACAAGATCCACACAGTATAAAAATTTTTGATAAAATTTGTCGAATTGCACAATCAAAACAAAATTTATACACAAATATTGTTTATGAGCCAATTTTTTCAACTTCTTAGTAAGCTAACAATTAAATTTTAGTCTGTCTTTGTTTTTCGTTGAAATTAAACCAAAACAGACATGTCTAATTTAACTATTAGTTAGATTGGAAAAATCAGAGGTTGGAAAAATTAACTTTATTTAAAATTATGAATTTTCCCGTTTAATTTACATATCAGTATATTACGGTACGCCGAATTATTAAACGTTATAAAAAATTTTCTGAACATTTACAAAAAGTAAACGAATTAAATTACGATATTCGTTCAAAAATTAATGAAAAATTTGAAGTTTTTTCTTTAAAATCAATATATCAAATTTTTGATACAAATAATGTGTTGTTGATAAAACTCAACTGAAAGATGAAGTTAAAATTTAATTAGTTGCTACTTCTCATTTAACACAATGCATCTTTAAAAAAAATTACAACAACGTTACTAACTTAATTTTACTAGAAAATAGAGATTTCAATATTTAAAATTTTCTTGAAACTGTCCCAATATCTCTCTCTCTCGTCATTTTTGCTGAAGTTGAAGCCCGTTAAATTTTATTTATTTTTCATGATAGAATAAAAGACGTTTACTTTGCTTTTGAATAATACTATTTAAAAGATGATAGAGCCTGACTTTATAATTTAGTCATATCACGATCTCATTTCTTTTTTATTAGGAATAAAGGGTGTACAAAAAGTGTATGGGTCTAAGTGCTAATGCAGGATTCACACCGCGTCCGATGTCCGACGTACAACGTCCGATATCCAATAAAAGAACAGCTTTCCAATGGAGAATTGAATTTTCTATTAGAAAGCTCTTCTCCTATTGGATATCGGACGTCGTACGTCGGTGTGAATCCTGCATAAGCTTATCCAACCCTTATAGCGTGTTCGACTGGCCCTGGGTTATAGCATGTTTGACTGGTTCTGGGTTAACCACTCTGGGTTATTCAGTCTACGTTTATTGGTCGAACAAGTACTTATAAGCTTTATAATTGACTAGTAGAGACTTATGACGTCAATAATCGCTCTCGGAGCAATTAACCCAGGGCCAATCGAACGCGCTATTAATCGCTCCGAGAGCGATTAATGACGTCATAAACCTCTACTAGCCAATCATAAAGCTTATAAGTACTTGTTTGACCAATAAACGTAGGTTGAATAACCCAGAGTGGGTTAACCCAAAGCCAGTTGAACATGCTATTTGTCTTTGTCGTTTGTCTCTGAGTGCGTTCAGCGAACTCAACAGGTGAGCAATTCGTCAATGTAATTGGTCTAGATTTAAGGATCGAACAGTAAGGACCAATAATCATTGACCGCTCACTGATCAGCTTTGTTTTCTGAACGCAGTCAATGGCTGCATTCAGCAGACTCAACAGTTGCACAACAGTTGAGTAATTTGTCAATGTAATTGGTCTAGATTTAGGGATCTAATAGCAAGAACCAATAATCGTTGATTGCTCACTGAGCGCTTTTTCTACTGAATGCGCCCAATGGGTGCGTTCAGCGAACTTAACAGTTGCACACAGTTGAATAATTCATCAATGTAATTGGTTTAGATTTAGAGATCTAACAGTAAGAACCAATAATTGCTGATTGCTCACTGAGCGCTTTTTCCGCTGAACGCGCCCAATAAAGGCCTTCACACACACTTCCAATGTAGACGTCCCTTTACTGTTACGGAAAGTATGTGTGAAGGCCTTAAGGGCCGTGGCACACAGAAAAATTTAAGCATTAAGACGTAAGCAATAAGCAAATTGACCAATCACAGTCGTTGATTCTTTTTACGATCCAAGAATCAACGACTGTGATTGGCTAATTCGCTTACTGCTTACGTCTTACTGCTTAAGTTTTTCTATGTGCCACCAGCTTAATCGCTGATTGCTCACTGAACGCTTTTTGCACTGAACGCGCCCTCTGGTTATATATAGTGAAAATAGTAGTGGTAATGTTGGTAAGAGCTGCAAACGCGTATGTCCAACAAGGATCAACGTGCCTTTTCTGTGTAGGAATCCAAGATGGTAAGTTTGCTGCGGTCTATGAGATACAAAACTTTGAGGAAATAAAAATAAAATCAAAATTCAATTTTGATTTTATTTTTGATATATCACATATTTTCTAGAAAGACATGAGATTTTTTAAATATTTGATATATTAATTGAGTACGAACATGTGTCTGAATATTATATTAGGTTCCTTTGTAGGCTCGTGGTCCGAAAAAGCATCTCAAGCGTCTTAATGCGCCGAAAGCATGGATGCTGGATAAATTGGGTGGTGTTTACGCCCCCAGGCCATCTACTGGTCCTCATAAGCTGAGGGAATCTCTTCCTTTGGTCATTTTTCTTCGTAACAGATTGAAATATGCTCTGACCAATTGTGAGGTTACTAAAATCCTGATGCAACGTTTGATTAAGGTCGACGGAAAAATTCGTACTGACCCCAATTATCCTGCTGGATTTATGGGTGAGTTCTTACTATCTTACTACATTTATATAATACTTTAATACTGTAAACAGTTTAGTCAAGATAGGCCATATCGAAGCTGTGGTACTTAAATCTTTACAGGTATCACAGTCAAAACTGGCCAATAATAAACCAAGTTCTTCTCTTACGGTCACAGATCGAGTTACATATTCTTTCTGTATTACCTAAGGAGTGCACAGAAACACTAATTCACGTTCACACACAATGCAAAGAAAAACAGATTAATTACAGTTACGACCAAATTGTTTCAGATGTTATTACGATTGAGAAGACAGGTGAATTTTTCCGACTGATTTATGACGTAAAGGGTCGCTTCACCATTCATCGCATTACTGCAGAAGAAGCTAAAGTAATTGCTTCATATTGCACATGCCTTCTTGTATAACAAGATTTTTAATGCTCTTTATCTGTATGTGTTTTATGCTTACAGTATAAACTGTGCAAAGTAAGACGTGTGCAAACTGGTCCTAAAGGGATCCCTTTCTTGGTAACGCACGATGGCAGGACTATTCGTTATCCCGACCCTCTCATAAAGGTCAACGATACTATCCACTTGGATATTGCCTCTGGCAAGATCCTGGATTCCATCAGATTTGATTCTGGCAATTTGTGCATGATTACCTGCGGGAGGAACTTGGGTCGTGTTGGTACTGTCGTTAGCCGTGAACGACATCCTGGCTCCTTTGATATTTGTCATGTAAAGGATGCTCAAGGACATACCTTTGCCACAAGGTACATTTAGAATTGCACAAAGAGGAAATGACGTTTATTTGCGAATCATCTTTAGTAACATGTAGTTGTATATTTTGATATTTTTATGTAATACATAATTTATTCACTTATCAGGTTAAACAACGTCTTCATCATCGGTAAAGGCACAAAGGCTTACGTGAGCTTACCAAGGGATAAGGGTGTGAAGCTGTCTATCGCTGAAGAACGCGATAGAAGACTGGCAGCGAAAGGAGTAAATTAATGTACATTTTCAAAGAAAAAAATACAATAAACCGAGATTGTACAATAATGTTTATATGAATGCCTATATTCTTTTGCATTTAGTATATAGTTTATATCTTTTTTTCTAAAATCGCGCGTATAAAATGCAATAAATCCGAATGCAGTGTTTCTTTTTATTCACAAAAATAAATTTAGCATATATCAAATGACAATTTGCTTACATCAAAAAATTATCCAAATAGCTTATGGATTCTGAAGTGATTGTAGATGGCGTTATCACTCTTTAACCGGAAGTTAGTAGGAACTATCGATACGAGAATTAAAGCTCGAAAAATCGACAAGAAAGTCTATCCTTCGATAGAAAAAGAATCGAGCATCGTTTCGTTGGTCGATCATCGTCCATGCGTCCAACCGTTTCCGGCTGTGGGTATGGCACGGTGATGATGAGAATTCGGTCTCGACGTTGATTTATGTAGAATTCCGTTGGAAATTACCGACGAGCATTCGCAAGCAATCTCACCGGAGTATGTGCATTCACTGTGCGTTCATTCACACCGCCGGAAGATCGTGATTTAGCGACCAAGCGACTTAAATATGAGCAGCGACGTGTTACTTTCTTGACACTTGGAGCAACATAAATAAGAGGTAAAGTTGGCGAGTCCAGGCTGGGCTCATTACCATTATCGGACGCTTTTCCCGCTCCCACTTGCGCCCCCGCAATGTTAAGTCTGTCTGCAAGTGTGATTCTCATTGAAATGTGGAAAAATGCACGCTGGTGCATCTTCACGTGCGTTCCCGTATCGCGCGGATTACGTCACTCTGCTACGTGTTCAATGAAGTCAATGCGTCCGTTGGGTACTTCACATTCCACGCTATATTTGCACAGTGCGATTTTATTTAAGTCTAGCCTCAACATTTCTAACTCATTTCAACTCGCACTTTTAAGTCTACTTAATCTCATAACACTTTGATGACAGTTCGAAGATTTACAATTTTAAATTCTAAAATTGTGCCATTCTCTCTTCCTATTATTTTCTTTTTACAAGAATATGATCTGAAAATTGCTTTATGTCAAGGATAATAGATACACAAACTTTCTATGATATAATATTTGATTTACACATGTTTTTTGGAAGCTATGATTGACTGGAGCAGGATGAAAAAGAAGTGGTGAAACGTAGAGGAAGAATACATGGTATTTGGTGTTGCTCTGACTGAGTATTATATGGAAATGGCAAGGAATGTGGAAAGTCTGATCTGCATCAAGACTAATGCAATTAGTTTACCCCAGTCTAGTCTCTATCCAATTAGATCAGTAAAATGGGAACAGTGGGATGGCACGGTGTTTTGTCATATTGTAAAAACTTTTGACTGCCAGCTTTCCTATGTCATAGTGTATTTATAGTTAATTCTGTGAAAGAAAATAATGCGGTGGTTTGTGTTGCTTATGTTCGTACAGTGGATAATGTGGAGCGCATCTGAGGACCCACCAGATGCAATGGAAGGTGAACCACCTGAGGCTATGGCGCATACAAAAGAGAAATGTGAACAGAATAAAAATCAATTGGAGTCCCTCAAAGAAATTATGATGAGAAATCAACAAAGTTTGAAGAAGAAGGAGGAGGAGGTGCAGGTAACATACTTTGCTTTCTTAAGTTATGAAGCTGTGAATGAATACACAAATTTGTAAGAGATAAAATAAAATTGTTTGGAAATAAGTGGATTTCTCATCTTTTGCACAGGAATATGCACGAAGACTGTCAAAAATCAAATCTCGAGCCAGACTGTCACGTCGTAGCAAAGAAGGATCTTCATCATCTAAGGACACAGTGCATTCACCTAAGACTGAGTCTACGGCAATAGACACAACAGATGATACTATTGATGACATAAGCCAAGCAAAAACCCCAAAGGCGAAGTCTTCTTTACTTCAACGAAAATTGGCAGAAAATAGGAAAGCATTTGAGCAACGCAGCAAAGAATTAACAGAGACTAAACGAGCAGTGGAAGAGAAAGTTGAAGCTATCAGGCAACAGCTGGAAGAAACAGACTTGGCTTCAATGGAAATGCACAAAGATCAACTGCCTGTTACACCAGTCAGACCTCTTATGGTGACATCAGATGTAAGTTTCTTGTCGATTTGAGAAAATTAGAACAGAATAAGGAAAAAATATGATAAGGAGTCGAATAAGTTGGTAATTTGATTTCTCAATCCTTATAGATTATGTCACCGATTCAAATCCAGGATATTCAGGAGAAAGAGAATAAGATTGTGGAATTGAGTAATAAAATTCTCGAGCTAGAGGCAACTGTTTTGGATCTCCAAGAAAACTTGAAAGAGAAGGATTCTGTGATCGATTCCAAAACGAAAGCGGTTACTCTTATGTCCGCGGATCTTTCTAAGAAAGGCAAAACGACATTGGATATTCTCGAAGATACAAAAGACGAAATGCGAACAATGCAGGAAAATTTTGTCCTGATAGAAACCTCTTTAAAGAATAAAAATGCTAGCCTGTTAGAACAATTGAAGGAAAGAGATAACAGAATCTCAGAGTTGGAACATACAATCAACGGGTAACACTGAATAACAATATAGAATTAAATAATAATTATGTCTCATATTAAAAAACAAACAAGACTAAAAGTACTACGGAAAATTACAAGTTATTCTGAAGTATATTAACAAACGTTTTAATTTCAGAGTTTGGTTTACAAGTTCTAAAAGATTTTTCTTGTATGTTTTAGATTTGAGGAGCAACTAAAAGAACAGAAAATAGCTGAATCAGTAAGCGCAGATTTCTCACGTTCTACTATGGACACTTTGGCGGAGACTAAAGACGCGATGAAATCAATGCAGGAAAATTTCGTTTTTATCGAATCTTCATTGAAGTTAAAGAATGACAACCTTCTTCAGCAATTGGAGGAATACGAAATAAAATTAGCAGAATCCAAAGAAAGGATATTCCAACTGGAATCGGGCACTGGTATAGTGACTGCTCCAGCAGTAGAAGATTTACAGTTTAGGATAGAAAGATTGGAACAGAATAATCGACAGCTTCTGGATGAAAAGTACGAATTACAGAAAAATATCGCAGAAATGCAAGACCAAATCATTGCTGGCAGATCGACCCATGATAACAGTGAAAAAGATAATAAAATTTCGGAGCTCGAAGATTTGATAGAGGGACTCAAACGATCGAACGAATTACTTGAAGCAGAATCGAAGGCCGAACTACACAAGTACGTCACTGAATTGTCATCTAAAAAGGAAGAATATTCGAATATAATCACTGATCTTGAGGAGAATGTACACAAGCTCGAAGCAGAGAAGAACGAAATCGCAGAGAAATTATCAGACGAACGAACGATGCTCAAGGAAGACGATAAAGTGATAAAGCTGACGAAGGAATTGGAGGATCTAAATAAAAGTATGATCAAATTGAAGGCCCAGCATAGAAGCAAAATAAAGAATTTGCAGAAGCAACTGGAGAACTTCAAAATGGTGAGAATTTACTTTGAAACGTGCACATTTTCATATTTTGACGTTCAGTAATATAAGACAGAAAATTCATATTACAATGTTAATTAATTATGATACTTTGTATTTCGATACATTCGCCGTTATTATATGTGCGAAAATGATAATAGTAACTGTCTTACAGGTATCTGATACAAATGCGGAACTCGTTAGACTGGGCAACCAGGTGGCATTGCTTGAGGAGGAGAAAGGTAACCTTCAGCTGAGTCTGGTAGACTTTGACGAGCTTAAAGGTAGGAACCAGGACAAACGTTTTATCGCCGGCGTTTCCATTGTCCTAGTTATGTTGAATTTTCAATGCGATCTATGTTGATATTTTTACCGGAAAAGCCTATTTTCCACAGCTTCGTTTTCTCCACTATAAAAAAAAGCATTCGTTCTAATTACGTGTATGGTCTCGCGATAAAATAAATATTTATACGTGCTGCAATGCGGTAGTAGGTTATAGCGATCATTTATATTGATTTTATTGATTGTGACCGAGTGCAGATGATGAATTGTCGCTCGGTCGTACATTTAATTCACGGATTGTCGAGAGAAAACTTGGAGAACGATGCTTCTTACGGTCACGCTGATTTCTGGTGATGGAATCTCTTTACTCGACTAGTTAGTCCTTTATGCTACAATTGCCGAGATGGAATATTTACTAATTCACGATATTATCTTGAATATTTTTCGATAATAGAACATAACATGGTACCTACTTTACTTGTCAAAGTTTGCTGCATACTTATTCGTAGAGATAGAAAATTTATATCCTTAGTACTTGTCGCCTACAATTGCTCATCATAAGTGTTATTTTACACGAAATAATCGATTAATTTGCATGAATTGCAACAACGATATTGGAAATTATTTTGGCCATTTTTGTTTGCAATTACGCCATCATATCATTATCGTTATACAATTTAAGTGGATTGCGCGTTGACCAAGAATATTTTGCGCGTGACTTGACTAATAATTGATTGATGACATACACGATATTAATGATCAAATATAGTAAAGCAAATGAACCAATTCCTGCCTTTCATATTTACATAACGTTTCTTGCTTCAAACGAACAGGACTTGATCTTACTGTAAATAAAGTTCTTCCAAGAATGACATATGCCATCAGCAGACTTATATTTATTTTTGAAGAAATTCTTTGGAAGAATTATTTTAGTACAGCATTATGTCTTACTAGACATATGCATTATTATTATTTAACATTATTATGATAATGTTCATATACATAATACACGTGGAAAGATGTTCTTTAAATGTAAGGCGCAAACAATGTGTTACTTCAAAAAATAAAAGCCTGCTGTTGGTGTCTTATCTTTTGGGACGACTTTTTTAACGGGATAATTATTAAATTGCACAAAAAGAGGGATTTGATCGAGGAAGCCGCTGTGACTAGCACTTAACAACTGCTTGCTTTAAGCTTACTGTAAATTAAACTGAAGTCGCACATACGTTATTGGCGAATTATACGATTTGCACAGCCTCGGCAGGAGATTGGCAAGAACGTGTTGCTGACCTCGAAAATAAGGTCTCCTCTCAGACAAAAGAGATACAGATGCATATTGATGCAATCGCCACCTTAGAGAACCAAAAGTTAGATCTAATGCAAGGTAATACGTCACATCAAGTTGTCAAGTTGTGTGGGGTAAGATGTACAGCTGTTGACCATACAAACAGCTTCTTCATTGTTTTATATGATTATTTTAATTTATTTTAACTTTACTCATGCAAACTTTTAAATTCTGCAGCTGTTTGATTCTCTTTTCAATTTATTATTTATCACACTCACCAAGAGAATTAATGACAAAGTCATCCATATCATAAATTAACATGTAAAAGAATCCATGATTTTCTCGAAGATAATCCTGCCCTTCTTTTATTTTACTAATTATTAATGTCAACTATAATAATAGCGTTAATGGCTCTACCTCTAATCCTATGTGCATTACATAAAATTGTCTAAACCGAGTATTAAGGATCAAACAACATATTTGCGATATAGTGGAATAGGTTTGCAAACCTTGCATGCCCCCTTTCAGAACTTCACACGGTAAAACAGGAGGTTTCGGCTCTAGAAGCCGAGAATGCAGAGTCTGAAAATCTCAGAGTGACCGCGGAAATGAAAGTCGTCGAATTGGAGGAGCAACTGGAAGCTGCGCACAAGGAACAGAGCGATAATAAACTCGAATCTCTATCGGAATCCGAATACCATGAGCTTCTCAAAAAGATCGACGCCCTGACACAGGAGAACTCGGAATTGTACAGTAAATTAGGTAAAATCGAAGAGAAGAACGCATCGGATACGGGTTCCACGGAATCCTTCGAAGCTATCCAGGTGAACGACAGGAACGACCTGCTGAAGAAGATCGAGGAGCTGGAGCAGAAAAACAACGAGTTAACGATCAAGTTGACGAAATTGGAGGAGAAGGACAGCTCGCACGCCGGCTCTACGGAATCCTTCGAGACTATAAACGATACAGATCGCAGTGAGTTGCTGAAGAAGATCGAGCAACTGACCCAGGAGAACAGCGACTTAACTATGAAGTTGAGCAGGATCGAAGAGAAGGGATCATCCGACACGGGTTCCACGGAATCCTTCGAACGCATCCCGGAGCATAACGAGAGTACGACGAAAATAGAATTGCTCACTCAGGAAAACCATGAGCTCGTCATCAAGCTCACAAAACTGGAAGAACAATTGAGCCAAATGGAGAGCAGCGCTCAATTGGACGTCGCTAAAAAAATTGATGACACTTTAGAAACGCTTCGACAAGAGAATGATTATTTGACGGAGGAAATTTCTAAGCTAAAACAGCATATAGAGGAGCTCACGAAGGAGAACAGCAGACTGCAGGATCATATGGAAAAGTTGACAGCGGAGAAGTTTCTGACTTCCGAGATGGTGAAAACGGTAGAAACTGCTCCTCAAGTTGAGGAATTAATGGAAAGACAGCAAATCTCTGAAAGAGAATTGGCACAAGTTCCGATGGAACTGTCGATTAACGTGACATCGTGCGCAACTGATGATATGAAATCTCAAATTGCGATGTTGGAGAAGGAAAACGCGCGGATGGCGACGGCGATTGCACAACTCGAAGAGTATATCGACAGTCAAAAGGAAAAGCTAAGTAAAGTAACTAGAGAGAAAGAGGAATTGGATCTGAGATTGGAACGCGTGGCTTGCGACGATTTTGCCAAGGAAAGGCTAGAACTCATTGACAAGTTGGAGAAACTGAATCGGGAGAAGGAGAGTGTTGCCCAGGAGAGACATGATTTACATGAACAAATCAGCACACTCTTGCAGAAGTCGTCCGATGAAATCTCGGAGATGCGAAAGACAGAGGAAGCCGCTTGCCAAGAGTCGCAGGCTGCGATCGTAACAGTCCTGGAAAAAGAAGTGGAGAACAGCAAAGTGTTGGTAGTCGATTACAAAAACCAAATGGAAGAGATGAACATGAAGATACAGAGCATGGAGGCGGAATTGCAGGAGAAAACACGGCAGATGACGGAGCACGAGGCGTCGACTGCGAAACTGGAGAGTTTGGAACGGGAATTGAAAGACATGTTTGCCACTGCGGAGGAATGGAAGTTCAAGTACGACGATATGCAAATAAAGATGCAGGTGTTGGAGGAAGGTAAGACGTCAATAGAGGAAGCGTTTAGAACATTGGACAATAATAACAAAGAATTGCTGGAAGTAATAAAGGAAAAAGATGTGGCGACCGCCACTCTGCAAGAGCGACTTCAAGACACGATAGAATCGCTCGAAACGAGATTACAGGACGAAGTCGCGAGCTTGACTATGAAGGAACGTGAGATCGTAGAGTTGCAGACGGTCATCGAAACCAAAAATCAAGAATTGCATGCCAAATACGCGCAGCTACAAAACGAAATGATCGCCATAGACAGTTTGCAGGATGAATTGAATAGTTGTACGATGAAGCTCAAAGAGAACGAGACTGCCTTATCGTTATCGTTGGAGGAAGTTACAAGGCTTAATAATATAATAAGAGAGAACGAAAAGGAGATCGAAACTCTAAGGAATAACATCAGCGAAATGAATGAAACGTCTAAGCCTTTAGCAGAATTTAATGAAATATTAGAGAGTTTACAAAGTATAGAAACGAATTATACCGAATTACAAAATAAACATGAGAGTGTTCTGAAAGCGAACGATGATCTATCGCGACAGATCGAAGATATGTCCAGGCGTGATGACGATTTGAAAAATGAATTGATGAAAAAAGAACAGGAAATTGCTGATCTCTTCACAGCCAAGGAGAATATAGCCGCACAAATTGAGGAAATCACAAATCATAAGACTGAAGCTGAAAGGAAAAACTGGGAGCTGCAGACGATTTTGGATAATCAAACCGCGTACGTCGAGAAAGTGCAATTGGATCTGACTAACGAGTACAAGCAGATGGAACACCTTAAGATCAAGCACACGGAAGATATAACGATGCTGAATCGTAGATTGGAAGACGTTATCGAGGAACTGGCTGCAAAAGTAGAAGAAAACGAGGGCTTGAAAGCCGAATTAGAACAAACGGAGGAACTAGTTGATAAAAATGTCACGGAAGAGACGAAGACCGGTTTGGAGGACAAAATCGTCGAACTGGAACAGAAGCTGTCTGAATCTGAAAACAAGTTGCAAGCTCAATCCGAAAAGATGAAGAAGATCGTAGCGACTTTCAATAAGAAAAAAGTAGTATGTCAAGAGCTTGAAGCGAGGGTCGCCGAATTGGAAGAGAAGTGGACGACGGAGAAGGACGAGAAAGAGGTCAATAATAAGAAGATACAAGAGGTGGAGATCTCTATGAGAGAGAAAGATAACAAAATCGCAGATTTGGAGGAAAAACTACTGCAAACGAAGAACGACGCAGCGGAAACTCTTATGAATTCGGAGAAGCTCGCGAAGGAATCAAGCAGTTTAAAGGAAAAGATGATCGTATTGATGGAGCAGATCGCGGAGATGGGCGACGAAATCGAGAAGCAGCGCGCGGAGATGGACCGACTCTATCAGCAAGTGGAGGTCGAGAAAACGATGAACGAGGACATTGTCAGGCAATACGATCATTACAAGGAAACCGTGAAACAAGAGAGTGAACAAAAACAAGTGGTCTTGGATGAAGTGAAAGAAGAGGCGAGAGAACTAAGCGTGCGCATGCAAGTGATGGAGACCGAGTATGTGGAGCAGCTCGCTCTGATAAAGAATCTACAAGCGGAAAACGGTCTCTTGTCGTCTAAGCAGACGCAGATCAATGAGAAACTGGAAAACGCCGAGAAGGAATCGGAGGAACGTCGTGTGCTGATCGAGCAGTTACAAAAGCGGATAGTAGCCACGATGACTGTAGGAGTGCAAATACCGGAAGAGGACACGAGAGAGAGCGACGCGCGAGACACGCAGCGTTGCGACCACTCTGAGCAGTGTCAGAACCTGGTGCAAGCATTAGAGACGCGTCTTCAGGAGCGCCAAGCAGAGATCGAAAATCTGAACAACGAATTGGCCAATTCATACGGCAACATTGTGTTACTTCACGATGAGTCTGTGAGATATAACGACATGATGATGCAGACGGCTCAGGAGCGCTTCAATCAGTCGCTTATGGATCGGACGAACACGTTGCAGCAGGAAATCGAATCCTTGAAGACGGAGAAGAGCATGAGCGAGCGGAGAGTGTCGGAATTGGAAGCTGAATTGGACGAGTATAGGCACAAGAGTGCAGAGAGCAAAGCCGAGGTCTCTAGACCAATCGATGCTTCCATCACCGAAGATCAGCATCAACAGGAACGGGACGATACTCCGCAATTGTTTGACGCTTCGAAAATCTTTGGTGCTACTGTCACTTCGGAGGCTGATATCTCGGACAAAAATGAAATCGCGCGACTGCAAAGTCTACTGAATGAGAGAGAAGCTCAGTGTTCCCAGCTTATGAAAGAAATCGACCTTCTAGTAAAAAGTACGGAAGAGGAGAGATCGTATGTGCAGAAGTTGCAGGCTCAATGCGACGATCAAGTGGGACATTGGAAAAATCGGCTGGAAGACGTTCAAGACGAGCTGAAACGAATGGAGCGTCTGCATTCGGAAAAAGTGGACTCGTTGAACGCTGAGTTGAGCAAGGCGACGCTTCAGGCAAACGAACTCAAGTCGTTGCAGGAGCAATACTACAATGCACAAGCTGACTCTGAGAGATTGGGACAACTTGTAAGTGAGAAGAACACACAAATAGATTCGTTGGTTGCCGAGTTGAGCGCCGTGAGTCAACAATTAAACGCGCAGTTGCTGCACACGAATGTGGAAGCTGACCTGCAAACAGAGATGTCGGTCAAGAATAACGCCATTATCGCGCTGGAGACAGAGCTAACTTCCACGAAGCAAACCGTAGAGACTTTAACGGCGGAACGAGATCAGCAAAACCGCATCTTAGAATTGTACAGACTTCAGATTGAGAACCTGGAAATAGAAGCGAGGAACGTGAATGACAATGATCTGATACGATCGGAATTGGAGCAGCGTGTCTCCGCGGCTACCACAGAGAGGGACTTGCTGCAGTTGCAAGTGAATGATTTAACACGATCTTTGGAGGAGTTGCAAGAATCGCTCGCGACTCAGCGTAACCTGCAAATCGAACTGGAGAACGCTTTGCATGAGAAGGATCAGGCGCAAGTGCTTGTCGCGAATCTCACGCGAGCATTGGAGGACTCGCAACGAAGTCTTCAGGAATCGAAGATACATGAACAGATGCATCAAGAGAGTGCGAAAGAACTTACTTCTGTCGAGAAACAGACCGTTCAACAAGAATCGGAACAAATTTCTATACCTGTCGAAGAACCTGTTGTTCATCAAGAACACATACAAGTAACCCAAGTTCATGCCGAGAAAGAGGCATCAAAGCAGCAGGAGACTCCTCCATTTGATGTTGATTTGAAATGGGATAACGGCTCGTCTGAAAAACTCAATGTCGATGAAGAATCCTGGGGCTGGAGTACGGAAGACGCCCAATTGGCCGGCGACCAACATCTCGGCGACACGATAACGCTATTCCCAGATGCTGAGATACGCTTACGTGCCCAAATAGAAGACCTGCAAGACAGAATCAAAGATCTGGAAACGCAGAACGCTAAGATCGTGGAAGAGAGCAAAGCAGCGCAGGTGAAGAGCGGCAAGCTGGTAAAGAAACTGAAAGAATACAAAGTTCAAGTAGAAAGCTTGCAGCAGCAGTTGAAGACGCAGAAACAAGCTGACAGCTTCTTCGACTTGGACACTGCTATCGAGGAGGAACTGAAAACTCAGATCGTCAACTTGGAAAAGGCTCTTAATGAGATCAAGGAGGAAAAGAAGAACATCGTTGCCGAGAAGGAGGCTTTCTTGAAACGATTTGATGTGGTTGTATCGGCTAACGAGAGATATATGGAGATGAAGGAGAGGCAGGACATGGAAATCGAAGTATTACGAATTCAGAATAAGGAACTGGGTAACAAGGTGCAATCTTTAGAATGGCGGCTACAGGATAATGCGACTGGTATGGAGGAAGATAATACTTCTTCGCAATATGAGGTTCAGCAAACTGACAATTTGCGTCACGAGGTCGATACGACTATTGTACACGATCGGCCCCAAAAGGATCCTACTGACGATCTAGAAATAATATCGAGAAAGTACAAGGAGGAGATAGACGATCTGAAGGATGAACTAGAGGCGCTCGCTGCGGAAAACGAGCAGTTACAGCATTTCTTGGAGGAGCAAAAAACGACGATAACGAGTTTGGAGTCGAAAATGGCCAGTACCGGAGAACTCACGGAGAAGCTTGAAATTCTTAATAATCAACACGCTCAGTCACAGAGCGCTTTAAACAAAAGCAAGGAAGAATACGATATACTCAGGAAACAATACGAGCAGAGTCTGATGGACGCGAATGACCAAGTGGCAGCCATGCGACAGAATAGCGAACTCCTCAGAATCGAATTTTTGGAGAAGATAGAAAGATTGGAGTTGGAAGTGAGCAGCTTACAGAAAGCCCTGGAAGAGAAGGAAGCTTTGGAAGCCAAGATTAGCGCTCTGACGAGTTCAGAAGAGAAATATTCGACCATCAACGCGTCTCTCATGGAAGTCACGGAGCTCCTCAACGCTAGAGTGCAAGAAGTCGCCGATCTGAAGCAAGAACTTCAGAACCAATATGTGGAAAGACAACAGGCCGAAGCGGCGTTGCAGTTAGAGATGCAAAACCTAACGAGAGAATTGGACGAGAGGAAACGGGAGTTGACAGCCTTGAGCCAAACATGCAGCGACAAAGAACATGAATTGTTGCAGCAGAGGAGCGTGGAGACGGTGAACACTATCGTTAGTGAGGCTACCCAAGAATTGGTTCAGAAGCATGCGATCGAGATTGAAAGAAAGGACAAGGAGCTACACGATCTAACGGAGAAATTGTCGATGTTGCAATTGATGGCGGACGAATACATTTCGAGACTGCGAGACAACGTGTTTAAATTGGAAACGCAGCAGCAACAAATCGCGTATCTGAAGGAAGATCTAATTGAGCGAGATTCGATAATAGAGAGCACAAAGACCGACGTTGATTTGACTAACGAAAAATTGCGAGAGAAACAAGAGGAATTGACGCGACGCGACGAAGAACACTCCAAACTCACGACAGAATTGAAGAGATGTTTAACGGACATTCAACACCTGCAGAGTCGACTGAGTGCTACAGAAGAGAGCACAATTGATTTGCAAGAGTGCCACTCGCGTATTCACAGTCTGGAGCAACAAATTCAAGCCCTGAATTCGGAGAAGGAATTAATCTTGTCGCAACACGATGAAGAAACGAAGACTTATCAGACGCACTTGGAGAGCAATAAACATCAAATCGATGCGTTGAAGCATGATCTACGAGAGAAGACCGAGCAATTACACTACTTGAACGCGCAATTGTGCGCCAAGGAGAATGATCTCGAAGGAATCAAGAGCATGATGATCGATAAGGATTCTCTGCTGGATATCACGACACAAGAGCTGAAAGAGAAGCAAGCCGAATTGGAGAGGCTGCGCAACGAGCAACCGCAAAGTTCCAAGATAATCGACGGTCTTCCCGTCTTCAGGATGGGCAACGACGACGACGCGGAGTTACAAAAGACCATAGACGAGTTGAAGACGCAAATGGAAGCAAAGCAGCAAGAACTGGAACATCTCAAGTATGTTCTCAGCGAGAACACGTATCCTATGATCATTCAGCAGATGCAAGACAGGATCAATTGTCTGTACAACGAGAAGGCGACGCTGGAGACTTCCTTGCGAACGACCACGCAGACTTTGACGGAGAAGCAAGAGCAGGTGCATCTTTTGACACAACGCATCAACGGGCAGAACCAGGAACATGTTTCTAAGGAGGAGGCCAATATGCTTTCCAGAGATCGCAGGTCCGCGCACGACCAAGAGGAAATTGTTCGGTTACAAAACGAATTGCATGCCAAGGAGCAGGAGATTAATGAGCTAAAGTACGTCATAGCCGAGAAAGACTCGCAGTTGTGTCTCCAGGCCAGCATGGAGCCGCAATCGGACGAGTTTGAACTGCGTGAGACCCTGCAGAGATTGACTGGAGAATTGTACGGAAAAGATCAGGAGGTGCAGACGTTGAAGGCGACTATAGCGACACTGCAGGAGGAGCTGTCGCGTCTCAAAAATATCGAGAGACTTTCCGAGGAGAGTAAGAATACCATCGAGAAGCTATATTCCACCATCGAGAGGCTATATTCCGAAAAAGAGCAGATCCGCGTCGAAGCTGAGGAATCCTTGAAGAGAGAACTGCAAAGAAAAGAAGCAGAGATCGGCGAAATAAAGCAACGACTGTCGGAAGAGAACCAACAGTTACTGGCGGAGTTCCGCTTGAAAGACAGCGACATAGAGAACTTGAGGACGCAGTTGACGCAGTTGCAAGACGACTGGAGTGACAGATTACAGCGGAAGGAAAACGAACTGATGCAAATGACCGACGGTTTGACGGAGAAAGAGCGAAAATTAGCCGAACTGAGTATCACCAAGGACACTGTATTCCATAATCTGAAGATGCAGATAAACGAAAAAGAGGTTCGTATAGAGGAACTCTTGGCGTTGTGCACCGAGGAGGAGAAACAGCTGAACGAGCTGAGGCAAATTTTGACGGCCAGGGAAACGGAGGTGAACACGCTGAAACAGTTGTTAGAGCAAAAAGTGGCCGAGTACGAAGTAATACAGCATGCCTTGAAGAAAGACGTATCCGTTATCGAAGCCGCGGCATCGAAGAGTCCGGATATCACTCAAACATCCGACAAGGAGGTTGCTTCGAACGAGTTGGACCTCGCGTTGTATATGCTTCATCAAAGGGATGTCAGATGCGAGGAGCTGACTCATGAACTAATGCAGTTGCTCGAGGAACGCGACACGTTGCAACTACGATTGTCTAATGCCATCCGAGTGAACGAAGAGCTCAGGAGAGCGAGCAGCGTTGAAGCGAGCCCAACGAAAGACCCGACGCCGTTAACGATAGTCGAACCCGTTGTGGAACAACCGTCGCCTTCCAAATCCGAAGGACCAGTTGAAATCGCCAAAGAAGCCATCGATGACCCAATGGAGAATAAAGAAGCTCTTGCTCTCAAGTAAGTGAAGTATAATTTTACTATCGTGTGACTGCAGATTTACTGTATCGGTTTCCGCGTAGTCCTGTAGTTACGTATAAATAGAAAATTATATTTAGCGCTAAACCCCGGAGGATTTAATATATTTTTCTGTAAGGATTAATTTAGAGTTAAATGCTAAGTTATATTTAACATTTTTACTTACATTTAATCTCGAATTAATTCTGTTTAATTTCAATTTTGATTTATATATAACAAGAATTTTTTTATGTTGTTATAGGCTCGGAATTTTTTAGGTATACTTAATGCTAAACATAGGACACTAATACTATTCCTTCTATAGTACATGGCATACTTAAAGAGACAATCAAAGAAAAGCTATTATTATCATATAGATATTTTCTCCTAGTTTGATAATTGAGATTCATTACCAAGCTAAGTTCTTCTTCGCTTCAGTCATTAATACCTCGTTTATCCATCGGCGCAATTAACGACTCAGTTTTTTTCAACGGTATATAATAATTACGAGTCGTAATTAAAATTATTACTTTGCAAATCGATCAAAAATTTCGTTGTCTCGTTGATTGGTAAAAAATCGAATGGCTTCTTCGTAATCTGTCCATGTAAATATCCTCCGTCGCTCATGAACGATATTGGAAAACGAAAATATTCTAGTCTCTCGACACAACGTTCAAATGCTCAGTCTCCATGCGTATTGTAAGCCGCTTGCAGGTAGTTATAAGCTAGTCTCTCCTTTAGATTGTCGCAGTTACATTCGGTCAGCCACACGAAAGACGTACGATTAAAGGACGAGCGGGAGCTAAGGCATACGCAACAAATGTCCTTGTTAGCGCACAGGGACGTATTAAGTACGTTACCACCCGAAGCAGCCGCGAGGCTCGTCAACGCTAATTATACACTCTGTAGGTATCAATCGATACGCAGAGAACATTCGAGGAACGCGCTATCGAGCGTTCCGAACTATGTTAATTCTAACTATGCGAATCGACGTTTGCTTCCAGCTCGAGATGTTCGGAGCCAATCGAGCGTCCTCCTGAATTGGTTGTGGGGCAAGAGGTAATTACAAAAAGAAAAATTTCGTTCGTTAGATATCTCGTTAATTCCGTAAGACTTCGAATAGACAATTCCCGGACTTCACAGACTGACGATATCGCGATCTCTTTGTTCTATAGAGTTTTGATTCTCTTCATGAGTCATCATAATTCCTTAATCCTTTCAGTTGACAGTTCGACAAGTGTTTAGTTTTCCTGGTCCTCTCCACCTCCCGTCATGAATTCAGATACTTGGTTCAACGGATCTTTGATTATAGAGGTCATCAATCTCATGGTGTATTATGATTTTTTCAGTGATTTTTAATTACTCGCACAGATACTCGCTTTCGTTATAGATTCATTGTTATAGATTCATTGTCACAGATTGCTCTTCGTTTTTCTGAACTCGATTGATATGCTTCGTGCAACTTCACCTTCACATATCCATCCATTTCAATACGTTTAAGTCAATGAATCCTCTTTATGCAATAAACACTTCAATTGTGAAGGTGATGCCGGCATTATCACGTGAAATATGTTTTTAGCACGCCGAAGGTAGTGCACATGTGATGAACGAACAGCGGAAGTGAAACGGCCATTGTTTTTGCCTTCTGGATACATTCCTGCCAAGTGCCAACTGCCAAGACTTATACTCGCAGTTATCTATGCGTAGTTGGAACTCGTCATGCATTTTTCAGGCAGAAGTCGTTTGAGCTTGCACGCTAGCTAACGATCGCGATGAATTTTCCCGCGGGAGGGTGTGGCGTGGCGGAAGAAGGCGTTAGCAAGAGATATTTTTCAAATCACATGTACAGATTGTAGGTAGTGTTCTTTCTCGGAAAAGTCGCTCCTCTTCGAGAAAGAAGAGAATACGAGGAGCAGACTTTCATGTATTATAACGTTGTATAGCTGATGTGTACGAGATAATATGAAACCTAAAATGTTGCCTTAGGATATGTAATTTCAGTGTGTTTTTCCGTCTTTCTTTTTTTTTATTTTCTGACTAAATTATCGATAGCATGCATTGAAATTATTTTGAAACTTAGCATTACGAATGCGCGGGCGTAAATATTTCACTGATTTGTTAATTAGAATATTTACATATCTTACGAATTATCTATTACTTACGGTCTTTATTAATTGCGATTGTCTTCCGGTTTTTTGGTGCAATTATTGTTATTACACTATCATTATTATTATTATTATTAATTGTACGTCGAAGGGAAGCCGCGCAAGACGAATAATAATTAATCCAGAGATAATCTGCGGTAATCGTAAATTATTCAATTGTTCTATTTCCATAAAATTTTGTACAGAGAAAAAATGAAGCATAAATAAAGAGATAAGAAGGAAGGGAGAAAGATTTATATAAATTCTATCATTTATATCATCTTACTCATCTCACACAATACATGAGAATCATAGCTTGATGAAATAACTTCTGATGGAATTGCGAACTTACCGAGCAAATACGCATTTTTGCACGCATTTCCAAGTTCCAATTCGTTATCTATACGGTGATATAAACATTTATATCACCAGGATTGCATCTTGCAGTCAAAATAAAGATAAGACAAGCCAACAGTATAGAGTCAATATCATTAACGCCTCAGCAATTGGATAAATGGACGCCACTTTGTAATTTGTAAATAGGTGAAGAGAGAGGAAAGAAGAGACAATAAGGTATAGTATACGAAGAAAATAGTAAGATATAATATAGGAATAGTAAGAGATAAAATAAGAAGAACACAGAACAATATTTTTCTATCCACGAATTACAGTAAATACCTGAATTAACTGAATTAATTCATTCCTCTTTCCATACATCGTTATACTTGTCTGTATAATCATTTTGCAAATGAATGTGCTTCAAACTATACGATTTTTTAGGTTTGTTTTAGGTTTTATTAGGTTTTTTAGGTTTTAATTGCAAGTTGTGCACGAACGCGAAAACGCAAAACACGATCGCGACAAATGTGACAAAATATACACCAATAATTTTGTTCATATGTATAAACGTTTCTGGGTTGTGATCCAACCAGCAGTCCCACGTGTTGTTCCACTTATGCGGATTTGCTCGCGGATCTATAAAAAACTTATTGTTCGGCGGTACCATAGTCAATTTGTGCCGATCCAGAGCTTGTTGTAAGCCTTCCGCGACGGAAGGTTTCTGTTCAATGATATTTATCATTTCGCAAGGATCCCTCTCTAGATCGAAGAGACATGGCGTTGACCATGCGTGGCATTGAATCTGCAAGCATGAAAACACTTTGATCTCGAGTGGACTACAACAAGGTGCAAAAGAACGTCATTTGTTTGCGTACAAACATATTTTAGTGTAAACTTTCAAAGCGTGGATAAAATTTCAAATAAAAAATCATTTCCCCGATTTCTCGAGATCGCTCACCTTCTCCGCTTCTGTAACGTTGCAATAGACTTTCGCTTCTTGTCTTAACTCCAAGATCTTTTGAGAAGTCAGTATAGCATTATTGTCACCAGCTGTCACTTCGGCAATGGCAACTCCAGCTTTGCTATACAATACTGTTTCAGGCAGATATTGCGGTTGTTGCTCAGTCGAGTTTTTTCTACTCTCTCCTAACCACTCAGAACTCGATGTGGTCTGACCGCGCACGTACTTGTACTTGCCAAGACGAATGGCCTCGTATTTGCTAATACTGTCAATGTTTATCACCATCTCTTCTCTAGGACTGATCTCATCGAATGCGATTGTCGGCCACATGTCGAAGCCATCAATCTCGCCAATTTCTTCCTTGTTTACGCCTATAATCAGCATTTTATTAATGTTTCTTTAACGGTGATCGAAAAGCAATTTGCAACTAACCGACGACGGACAGCAAAGTGGGCAACCAATCGGCCATATACATTAATTGGTTCGAGACCCGTTCGCGTTTCTTGATTAGAGGGCTCCAAATTGCAGCTGTTCCTCGCACGCCGCCTTCCCAAGCGGTTTCTTTTATCTGCAAATATTCCGATTCCATTTGCATTACAGCTCGAATCGAGTTAACTTGCATCAAGTTTTTATACGATCAAAATTCTTCCTTCGCAATGAACACTTACTCCACGAAGAGGATAATTACTGCCCTGATTAGCCAAAAAACCATTAGTGGGTGCACCGTTATCACTCATGAAGACAATAATGCTATTCTCCAACATACCGCGTTTTTTCAAGACTTCTATAACATCGCCGACGCACTGGTCTAATTTAGAAACCATGGCTATAAATAGTAATATTAAGAAATAAGATTAATTAGTTTATATATATGACATCTAATAAAAATTATATTTCTTACATATTACGCGATCACGCATAATTAATTAAGTTTAAATGCATGGTATGTAACGCGTGTAATTTTTGCGAGCATTTTTGTTATCTTAGAACGATCAAAACTCTTCAAAACAAAGCAACAATTGCCTCATGACTGGTGTATAAAATGTTCTTCCTTTTCAGAATTTTAAGATACAGCAAATAAAAATACTTCAACATTAAAAATGAATTAATCGATAATGAAAAGTAACACCGTACCAGCGTAAATTCTTCTCTTTTCATCAGTGATGTAAGAGAACTTTTCGATCTCTTCGGAAGGAGCTTGTAGTAATTGATTTATATTTCCACTATGGGGAGCAATTTGAGCCAGGTATAAGAACATTGGGTCATCGGCATTGTGAATATTAATTAAACGTACTGCTTCCTCGGTAAAGAGATCCGTTGAATATTTGTTCCTTGTGTCCCACGCGACCGTCATATTCCGCCTCATGTCTATGCCTTGTTTTAATATAAACTAAAAAAAAAGTTCAATTTTGATTATTGATCAGTACAACTGTTTCAACAGAGTATCTTTCTTTTTAATATCTTCCTTCAGTTGAGTAGAAACTGCCACGTTTTTTATTTTTTGTCGATGAGAAAGGAAATATGTGATATCCTTAAAATAACTTACTGGATCCAGTGTGTCGTGAGTGTAATAATCGTGGAGACCATTCCAATAACCAAAATGCGTATCAAAACCGCGAAAGAGCGGTGTATACTTCTGTTTGTAGAAACCCAGGTGCCATTTACCCACTATATGTGTTGCATAACCCGCTTCCTTCAAATACTATAAACAAAATCAATCCGAAACCTGTCTATTATTGACGTATCTTCAATCAGGATATTGATTTGCAATTTATTTTATGATAAGGAAGATACTTAACATACGTACCTGCGATAGTAGCTTCTCTTCTAGTGGAAGTGCACGTGGTTCTGACGGTAATATAACACTATGTTGCATACCTGTATGGGTTGGATACTTTCCAGTCATTAAGGCTGCTCTACTTGGCGTGCACAATGCTGGTACATAATGATGATTCAGAATAACTCCATTATACGCGAGAGCGTCGATATTCGGTGTCGGGATCTGATCGGAACCATGGAAACCGACGTCGTTCCAGCCCTGCGAACAAAGACATGGAATTTATCTCAGACATCTCTGTTTATTATCACTGTTTATTAACGGGCGAAAATATATCAATATACTCTCTCTTTCGTAAAAGCAATCCCGAGAATTTTTCAAAAGAAAATACAGTATAAAAGAAATCTTTAATTCATAATTTTTTAGGTCGCTGAAAACATTCACCAAATCGTCTGCGAGGATGATAACGATATGCGGCTTTTTGTAGTCATTTTCTCTGGTCCTTCCAGAATTTTCTAGTAAAATTGCGATTGTCACAGATATCAAGGCATCCAAAAGGCACAGTGCGAAGAACAGTTGCATCAGGAGTAATCTACCCATCGCGAAAAACTGAAACCGAGTATGTGTAACTATATGTTATGACAGAATGCGTTTTCAAAACATATCTTCTGTCTCCGAATTTTAATTAATATGCTGCAATTTATCCTTCTTCGAACAGAACGTGTGTAACGCACGGAACAATAGGGAACACGTCTTCACAAACCGAGTATGTGTAACTATATGTTATGACAGAATGCATTTTCAAAACATATCTTCTGTCTCCGAATTTTAATTAATGTGCTGCAATTTATCCTTCTTCGAACAGAACGTGTGTAACGCACGGAACAATAGGGAACACGTCTTCACAAACCGAGTATGTGTAACTATATGTTATGACAGAATGCATTTTCAAAACATATCTTCTGTCTCCGAATTTTAATTAATGTGCTGCAATTTATCCTTCTTCGAACAGAACGTGTGTAACGCACGGAACAATAGGGAACACGTCTTCACAATACAAGTTCTTTATTGCACGCACAAAGATACAATATAGCGAAAAGGAAAAGATAACACCGTAATTGCTAGTGAACGGATAACGAACGATTATATGTATATACAGGGTGTCCCGCGTGTAAGACAAACCAAAAGAAAAATATAAGTAGAGCACATAAAAGTGAACAAAAATTATATAGGCCATTTTTCAAACAACCACGTAAAATTTCGAGATATTAATTAAAATAGTTGAGCATATCAGAGCGCGGCGACACGGCAGGCGGGACATACGGCTCGCCGCGGCTGGCGAAGAAAATGGATGATTACTCGCGGGCCTATCTTATAGGCTAAAGAGATGGGTCGTTTGGCATACTGAAATGAGTAGCTCTGTGTGTGCGTCCGTGTACGTGTGCGTTCTTCCATTTTCTTCGCCGATCCCTGCGAGCCGTATGTCCCGCCTGTCGTATCGCGCGTTCTAATTTGTCCAACTATTTTAATTAATATCTCGAAATTTTACGTGGTTGTTTGAAAAATAACCTATACAATTTTTGTTCACTTTTATGTGTTCTACTTATATTTTTCTTTTGGTCCGTCTTACGCGGGACACCCTGTATATACGGAACCCGTGACAAACAAAAAACGTACGACGAGGAAGAGTCACGTAGTACCTAAGGGCTCCGTTAGATGTGTCTGAACAATATCGATCAAGTTGTCGACTGCGTTTTATAACAACGTGTTTATATTAAAAACATAGCACTTCATCTATATTTCGCAAATTAGTATCTAGCGTATGCAACTGCTCTGTTATCTGTGTAGTATAAAGATAACATGTGTGAATGAAAATCTACTAGCTGCTCGATGTTTTTGCCGATAAGTAAAGAAACATATGCGAGATGATAGTATAATATTTAGCTATGCTTGTCTCGATATTGTGATGATTTAAGTTTAATACTTAGCGACTAATTCGTCGTAGACTGTCACGGTAGTAACTCACGTAGTGAGTCACGGTAGTCACGGTAGCCGAATATCATTTTTATTTTCACACACTGACTTTGGAAGATTGTGGTAGGAAATAAAAAAAGATTAATTTCAGACGGCAAAAGTCGTTCGATTTAATTTTAGGAAACCTTTAGTAGAAACATCGTTATAAGTTCACAAGTGGTATTGTGAGTTCAGTTAATTTTTTTCCTTTATTCAATCGAATTAACCGCCATCTGTATACACAAAAATAGATAAATTAAAATTGAATCACAAATGTGCTTTTAATCGTTATACACACACACACACACACACACACACACACACACACACACACACACACATATATATATATATAAGCCATCTATTTCTTGAATGCGGAAGCAACTTTTTCTTTCAAACGTCCGATATTTAAAATAAAACAATTTTATTTTATATCTTCTATATGTTTTTATGCGGAGTCACTATTGTTCTGGTAGTATCGTCTGTCGCGAAATACTTTATGCACAAACCGAAGAAATATCAAATAAATCGACATATATACGAAATATGCGTCAAATATAATATCTCACGTCTTATCGTATTATTTATTGTATTTAACATTGAGCACGTTATAGCAGATTATATTTAACATTGAGCACGTTATAGCAGATTGTGCTTTATGTTGCATAAGATGATAATAACATCAAGAACATATAGTCTGTACAATAATCACTCAAAAATAGCTGATGCGAAATTTATGAACTTTGGAACGATTCTGTTTCATTCAGCAGAAAGAGAGACAAATATATGAGAAGTTATCTTGGAAAATTTTAATGAAGACTTATGAAGTCTTTAAAGAAGACACCTTGATATAATCGTTTCTACGAGGCAATTATTTTGTTAATAAATCAACAAAACTTTATGGTTTGAAGTTGATCTAGAAGAATTCTTCTCGCGATATGCCGCAAACCGTGCGACGTACCGTATGCAGTTTCGACATATCCCTCGCCTTGATGATTATAGCAAATACATATGTATTTTACTAGTTATATACTTTCAAAACGTATCATGATTACGTGATTATCCCAAAATCAATGAATCGCTAATGTTTTTTTCAATCAATATTGGCAATATCTGTATGATTATACTCGATTTGGCATTGATAAGTCAGGAAAGAACTTATTAATCGGTTTATGTCGGATATTGTCACGAATTATTGTCAATTAGAATATTGCGCAATATGTGACAAGGCTGTATATTTCGCAATATGTAGAAAAAAAATATATTACGCTCTAATTTTATTCCCGCACGTAATATCACAATGTAAAAACATCTATAATTTTACATAGTTGCCCAAAATATCATGTAAACGTTGTAGAAAGAAGTCAGTGTTCTGTCGCTTTTTTTCACGTATAGTCGTTATCATGGTGAATTCGTTGTGAAATCACAATGATAACAATTGTGATATAATTTCACGAGACAAAATTTACAAGAATGTACTTTGCTCAAGCATCACTGTTTATTCCGTGTTATTTCTGGGAAGTCCAAAACGACAAAAAGTATGTCATTAATCTCGTGACGTCTCGTATCGTGACGTCGATTATCATTGCGGATTTATCAAGTCGCGCAAGCAGTTAAGATGCTTAAGTCCATCAACACCATTAGTATTTATATATATAATTTATCACCCCATGATATCGAGATATCGTAACGTTCATTAAATATGGCTGATAAGAACGCAACCGATTTTTTGGCCTAATAGCCTAATATAGTATGTATAATATTACTATCATTATTATTATTAATAATATTATTATTTTTATTAATTATACATATTGAAGACAAACTATGTAAGACGAATCATAGGTAATCAAAAGAATCCACAGTAAATTCTTCGATTGTTCTATTTCTAAGATTCTAAGATTTTGTATAGAGAAAGAGAGAAGCATGAATAAAAAAAAAAAAATCCGAGACGAAAGATTTATTCAAGTTTTATCATTCTAAATTATCTTACGTAATATTTTACAATTATCGTACATTTTACATAGTACTTAAAATTACATCTCGATACAATAATTTCCAATAAAATTACGAATTTAGAATTGCCAGACAAATGTACATTTCCAACCACTTCGTTATTTATATGGTGGTATAAACATTTATATCGCTCTCTTGTATTATTCTCCGCGATTTAAATAAAGGTAAGAGAAGCTGACAGTACGAAGTCGATGTCATTAACATCTCAACAATTAGTTGAATGTATGACATTTTATAGTTTATAATCAGGCAAAGAAAAGAGAAGATAATAAGTAATAAGATATAATAGGAATACGATATAATAAAATAAAACATAAGATATAATCATAAGATAAATATAAAAAATTAATATAAGATATTATCAAAAAGCCCTTTAGAAGGACAAGGACAAGAAATAAGCTACAGTAGGTACGAAATAATAAAGAAAAGTAAAAAATATGTTGATGAATTCATGTTGTTGATTGGGGTCTTGCCAGCAAACCCACGTGCGGTTCCACCAAAACGGACTTGCTTCCCAATCTTTGAACTTGTTGTTCGGCGGTAGCATCTTTGATCTGTACTTATTCAGAGCTTCCTGTAAGTTCTTTGCGACATTGGGTTCCTGTTCAATTATGTTTATCTTTTCGCAAGGATCTCTCTTTAGGTCGAAGAGACATGGCTTTGACCATGTGCAGTTTCGAGCCTGTAAATAGCATGAATGACGTCAATGACAATTTGATCTCGAACAGATGACAAAAATGAAAAAACGTTATTTGTTTGCGTGCAAACATGCTTAGTGTAAACTCTTAAAGCGTGGATGAAATCTTAAATTAAAAAGTCGTTCCCTTGATTTCTCAAGATCATCTACCTTGTTCTCTTTCATAACGTTACAATGGACTGTTGCCTCTTGTCTTAACCGCAGGATATCCTGTGCAATGAGTGCAGACTTATTATTACTAGTTGTCACTGTAGCGATAGCAGCTCCTGCTTTGCTATCCAAAACGGTCGCAGGCAAATACGGTGGTTGTTTCTCAGAAGGGTTTCTTCCGCTATCTCCCACCCAATTAGAAGTCAGCGGGGCCTGACCGCGCACGTACTTGTACATAACATTCTCGTCTGTAACATTTATAATGGCCTCATAATGAAATATATCGTTGATGTTTATCAACACCTCGTTTCTCGGATTGAGCTTGCCGTATTTGATTGTCTCCCACATGTTCTTGCCATCTTTACCATTAATTTCCTTCACGCCTGTAACAAAGATTTTATTAATGTTTCTTCAACGGTGAGATTAAAGAGCTATTTGTAACTAACCAGCGACGGTTAACAAAGTAGGGGACAAGTCGGTTATGTGCATTAAGTCATTAGAGACTCGCTTGGAATTCTTGACTAAAGGGCTCCAAACTGCAGCTACTCCTCGTACAGCGCCTTCCCAAGCAGTGTCTTTTATCTGCAAATATTCCGTTCCAATTTGCATTAGAGGTTGAATCAAGTATCAATCACGACCTCACATGAAGTGAGAAGTGCTTTCTGCGCAACGAATACTTACTCCACGAAAAGGATAATTACTGCCGTGATTAGCAAGAAAACCATTGGTGGGAGCACCATTATCACTCATGAAGACAATAATGCTGTTCTCCAACATACTGCGATTTTTCAAGGCTTCTATAACATTGCCGACCCCCTGGTCTAATTTAGAAACCATGGCTATAAATAGTAATATCAAAAATAAAATATATTTAAATGTAACATATCTAGTAAACATTATTGCGAAGAAGGGATCATTAGGTTTATCGAACTTATGGACATTGTTGTTTATCATATAATTTTAAACTAAATTAAATTTAATATTTTTTAGATATAATATGCACACGGGGCGCATAATTAAGTTGAATTGCGTGGTACGTAACGCGTGTAATATTTGCGAACAGTTTTGTTACCTTAGAATGATCAGTATCTTTTTCAAAACAAGGCAGCGATTGTCCCATGACTGGCGCACAGTGGGACAAATAGAAATTTACTGTTCAAAAATCGCTAGAGACCACAATTTTATAGCAATCGGGATGAATTTTTTTTTAATTAAACGTTAATCAATGTAGAAAAAAACTATCGAGCCCGATTTTTTTTTTAATTCTTCTAAATGTTGTAATATTAATAAGAATTTTTAAAAAATTATTAAGTTTTGTGAGCCACTCCATTTGTAAAACTTTCCATCTTTTCGCTGTACATTACAGTGTACTAAGGTTTTCAGCATCGCTGATTACAAATCTGATATAAAAATCAGAATTTGGCAGTTGACAACTGTTAATCTCCTGTCAACATAAACAAAATCATTATGTTTTAACATAATGTATACAGTATATGTATACAGTATGTACACAGTATATATGTTGTAATAGAGTATACAAAGTCGTTCAACATAAATGTAAAGTCAGTATTAAGATCTAGTATTTAACAGCTGTTAAAAAAAATCATCCCGATTGCTATAAAATTGTGGTCTCTAGCGACTTTTGAACAGTAAATTTCCATTTGTCTCCACTGTGTGGCGTATAAAACTTTCTTTTTTTTCAGAATTTTGAGATATAGCAAATAAAAATACTTCAACATTAGAAATGAATTAATCGATAATAAAAAGTAATACTGTACCAGCGTAAATTCTTCTCTTTTTATCGTTGATGTAGGTGAATTTTTCGATCTCTTCGGGAGGAGCTTGTAATGAGTGCTCCACACCTGCGCTGTGAGGAGCAGTATAAGACAGATATAAGAACATTGGATCATCTATATTGTGATTATTAATTAAGTGTATTGCTTCCTCGGTGTAGAGATCCGTTACATATTTGCCCCTTGTGTCCCACGAGATCGTCATATTCCGCCTCATGTCTATGCCCTTATTCGGTGTATTCTGAAAAAAAGATTACTACTAACAAGTACAATCTTTTGAACAAAGTGTCTCCCTTCTTAATATTTTCTTTAAGTTGAATAAAAATCACCTCGTATTTCTTTTTTATCTTATATCTTTTCGTTGAAAAAGAAAATATATAATATTCTCAAAGTAACTTACTAGCTCCGCTGTGTCGTGACTAAAATAATCTTGGAAACCATTCCAACAAACAAAACACGTATCAAAACCGCGAAAACACGGTGTATATTCGTGTTTGTAGTAACCTATGTGCCATTTACCCACTATATATGTTGCATAATTCGCTTCTTTCAAAAACTATAACAGAATAAAATCAATCCCAAACCTGTTTACTATTGAAGTATGCTTAATCAAGATATTGGTTTGGTTTTTCCAAATTACGACAACGATGATTTTTTAAACAAATACTTGTGGCAATATTGTCTCATTTAGTGGAAGTCCACGTGGTTCTGACGGATCTAAAGCTGCGTGTTGCATGCCCGTGTGAATTGGATATTTCCCAGTCATCAAGGCTGCTCTACTTGGCGTGCAAATTGGTAGTACATAATGACGATTCAGAATAACTCCATTATACGCGAGAGCGTCGATATTCGGTGTCGGAATTTGATTAGAACCATGAAAGCTGACGTCGTTCCAGCCCTGCAAATAAAAATATGGAATTTACCTCAAACATCTCTGTTTATTACAATCTTTTATCAAAATCAAAACTTTCTAAATTTCTCAGACGCTCGCTTTTGCAACGCTCACTTACGCCACCTAGCCAAGTCGACATCTCTGTTTATTATCATTGTTTATAATCGGGCGAAAGTATGTCAATGTACTCTCTTGTTAGGTTTCGTCAAAGCAATTCCGAGAATCCTCTCGGAAGAAAATACAAAATATAAAGAGTTTAATTCCATTAAAATTTTGTTAAATCGCTGAAACCACTCACCAGGTCGTCTGCGAGGATGATGATAATATGAGGCTTTTTGCGATCATTTTTTTCGCAACCATTTTCCTGCAAAGTTGCAACTGCCACAGGTATCAAGACATCTGAAAGGTATAATGTGAAGAGCAGTTGCGCCAGAAGTATTTTACTCATCGCGAAAAACTGAGACCAGAGTGAGTTATAAATCTCGTATATTTAAACTGTGTCTATATTTAAACTGTGTATCATAACAGGATGTGTTTTAAAAACATATTTTCTGTTTTCAAAATTGATTGATATGCTGTAGTTATCTTTTGTCGAACGGAACACGTTTATATTAAAAGCATAGTACTTCATGTTGCAACTTTATTGGAAAATGGTTGCGAAGAAAACGACTGCAAAAAGCGGCATATCATCATCATTCTCGCAGACGATATTGTGAATGGTTTCAGCGATTTAACAAAATTTTAATGAATTAAAGAGTTTTTTTATTTTGTATTTTCTTCCGGAAAGATTCTCGGGATTGCTTTGACGAAACCTAACAAGAGAATACATTGACATACTTTCGCCCGATTACGCGAACTAGTATTTAGCGTATGCGACAGCTAGTCTGTTCGATTATCTATATAGAGAAAATTATTTGGTTGAAAACGAAATAAACACTTCTTTGGAATGGTTCAAACAAATTGTTTGATCGAATAAAATTTTGTTTGACGCAACAAAACTATTTATTTGCGTCTTAGTTCCAAAGAAATATTTTTGTTGTATCAAACAATTTGTTTGGACTATTCCAAAGAAAGGTTTATTTTATTCAACAAATCGTTCTCTCTGTGTACGTAGTATAAAGACAACGTGTGTAAATAAAAATTGTGTAATTAGTTGCCTGGCTCTTTCGTCAATAGTAAATATGCACGAGCATTAGTAATATTTTAGTTTTGCTTGTCTCGTAAAATCTTCTAACATATTGTGACGTTTTAAATTTAATATTTACCGACAAACTCGCTGCAGTTTCTTACTCGTTGACTCGGTAGTAACTTGAACATTATTTTCTTTGTTTTTATATGGGTTTTGAAAGTGGCATATGGACAGTGACAAGTCAAGATAAGATAAGATTAATTTCAAAAGTTGTTTGAAATTTGTTTCTGAAACTTTTAAACATTGTTATAAATTCACGAGTGTAACATAGTGAATTCAGTAAAATCTTCATTAATCGTTTTTCTTAATTAGACGACTTAAACGCCGCCATCCGTATCTATAAAAATTGATAGTCGATCGGACGTCAAACTGGATGTAATTAGTATTCAATTAGCATTCCTGTCATTTATTAATAATCCTCGTTCATTATACCAAACGCAACAAATATATTTAGATATACGCCAATAATCAGCTAACTACAAGTATCTTCTCGCAGCTAATTGCGTCTTTTCGACGTTTTCACGTCGAATTTCAGTACACTTTGCACAAGAGAAACACGAGCAACTCACGCGGAAATGAAGTTTGCCCTGCGAATTTGGAAGATAAATTATATCCCCACACGAGACGGTGTTGTAACAGCGTTGTTATACAAACAACACATGATTCCAGACACGTAAACGTTAATTTTTTAATTGTGAAATTTTGACTTAACGTTTACGTTTCTTTTTCCACCTACAATTGTTTTATCGCGATGAATTTGCAATGAAATCATAATAATAATAATTATGATATAATTTTACAAGGTAAAATTCGCGCGAGAATGTTTAACTCAAACACTTCTGTTTATCCCGTGTTACTTCCGGGTGACTCAAACGATGGGGCCATTAATCCTTTGACGTCTCGTATCATAATATCGATTATTTGTCACGGTAGAATAGCCGCACATGTAGTTAAAATGTCACATCTATCAACACAATTAGTATTCACATGCATAATTTATTACTTTTTTTACGTGACACAGAGATACCGTAACGCTCATTAAGCATAGACCGTTAAAGACGTGGCTGATTTTTTTACCGTTACAATATATATAAATGATGTTGAGACTTACAAAATACGCAAACAGCACGATGTCGCCGGCGATGCGCTTGTGCGCCCTTTTGCTGTTCACGAGTATCTCTTTCGCTGAGATCCACAATAAAGCTTGGTGGAACAACACTGTTTTTTATCAGATTTACCCAAGAAGCTTGTACGACTCGGATGCTAATGGCATAGGCGATTTGAAAGGTAAGTCTGATTAGTTTAGGATTGTCTGTTTGTGTTTCGAAAGGCTTCGAAAGTAAATACATTTCAAGTATAGTTCAGATAATAGATTCGAATTACGTTTTAACAATTCCAAGTAGAAGTATACAAGTTTCAAGTTCAAATTTAGATCCAAATGATCACATAGACTCGATCTTGAAACGAGTTGTTCGATTACTTAAAAATATTGATCGCTAGCTATAAACGGGTTAAAGATCCACGAACGTGAGAGAGGTACAAGTATCATCCTACACAACGTAATGTTCAAAATTGGGATATAAGATGTCTTTAAGACGTCTTTAAGTTGTCTCTAAAACTTTGAAACATAAAACATCTCTAAGACGTTTTTAAAACGTCTTCAAGACGTCTTATGTCTCGATTTTAGATGTTGTGTTATATGGGATATTTAGAGACATCAATGACGTTAAGAGCCTCATTTTCTTCTTCGTGTCGCTAGGGATAACTTCGAAGTTGGATCATATCGTTGAAAGTGGTATCAATGCAATCTGGCTATCACCCATATATCCGAGTCCTATGGTAGATTTTGGATACGACATATCCGACTTCACAGATGTCGATCCAATTTTTGGTAATCTTCAGGACTTCAAGGTTCTTCTGGCGCGTGCTAAAGAACTCGGCTTAAAAGTACGCAACAATTTTTGAAAATTAATTAGCCGTCGCTTCTCATCGGGACCATTTTATAATATGATACTCACAGGTGGTTCTCGATCTTGTGCCGAATCACACGTCCGACAAGCATATATGGTTCCAAAAGGCTCTTCAGGGCGACAGCAAGTACAAAGACTATTATGTATGGGCGAATGGCAAAAAAGAGAATGGCAAAAAGCCGCCCAACAATTGGATTAGCGTGTTTAGCGACTCCGCGTGGACTTACGTCGATTCGCACAAGCAATGGTATCTTCATCAATTCGAATACAGGCAACCCGACTTGAACTTCTACAATCCTGCCGTAAGAGAAGAGTTAATAGTAAGTTCGAGAAAATGTTTCTCTCTCAAAAACTGTTGCGACATGTCACCTTCTTGAAGGAAGAGCTTTTCTTGCCTTCTGATACCATTCTCTATTTCAGTTATAGATTTAGATTCTGATAAACGTATGTTAGGTTCGTCCTTTTCCGAACTTCACGAAGTTTCATGAAGTCACCGTTACATGTATATAATTATTTCGAATATTGGCTATTTAGAAAGTCCTCAAGTTTTGGCTGGACCTTGGTATAGACGGATTTCGCGTCGATTCCAGTCCGTTCATCTACGAAGATTCGAAATTACGGGATGAGCCGAGAAGTGGCGCGGCCGACACCACACCGCGAGATTACAAATACCTAAATCACATTTACACGATAGATCAAGTTGCCACTTACGAGTTACTCGGGACTTGGCGAAAATTTATGGACGAGTACGCCGATGCACGTAATCTGGATCAAAAGGTGAATGACATTTTGCAGATTATTCTCTGCTTCTCGTTAATCCGCACGCGCATCTAAAATGTATCCCGCCTGTGATTCAGTTGTTTGTGATGGAGGCGTACACCAATTTGGAGCACACTATACTGTACTACGATTACGACTTGCTACCCTTCAATTTCATGTTCGTAGTTAATCTGACCGTTAAATCGTCCGCGCAAGATTTCAAGCGTGAGATCGACACCTGGATGAGTTCGATGCCGAGCGGCGAAATTGCCAATTGGGTGGTACGTGAATGTGTGAATTCATTAAATGGAATTGTAACATTTTTTAAATTACAACCATCAGACAAGAAATCGTTGAAATTTTCTTCACGGATCAAGACGAAACAAAATTAGGAATTTTTTTCAGTTGGGCAATCACGACAATCCGCGCATCGCTTCTCGTTTCCCTGGCAGGTCTGATCAAATGACCATGTTGTCCATGATCTTGCCAGGTCTAGCGGTGACGTATAACGGCGATGAGATCGGCATGGTCGACAAGAGAGACATATCCTGGGAGGACACGAAGGATCCCGCGGCGTGCAATGCGGGCAAAGATACTTACGCGACTGTATCCCGTGATCCAGAGCGCACGCCGTTCCAGTGGGACGCGACGAAGAATGCAGGTAAAATCGCGCAACTACTTAACTATGTGATGTTAAAGTAGTAAATTGTTCTTGACACACCTTTGAATTATGCTCTAAATCAAATTAATTCAATATCGGAAATTATAATAATTTTGATTTAATTTACAGCCTTTGGTTATCCTTTCCAACAATAAGAATTCTGACTCTGTAAATAATAACTGATAATTCGAGATCTCTCTATTATTTTTCTACGGTAGGCTTTAGCACGGCAAACTCGACGTGGCTGCCAGTACACGAGAACTACAAGACATTGAATTTGGCAGAGCAGAAGGCGGCTAATGTATCACATTACAAAATCTACAAGACTTTAACCTCCATGCACCAAACGGAACCGGCTCTTACCGAGGGAAGTTACAGATCGATCACGACGAATGGTAACAAAGTTCTGGGTGTGATTCGCAACTCTGGTTTCCGCTTCGTACTACTCCTGATCAACTTCGAGGACAACGAACCGCAAGTCGTCGATCTATCGAACGAAGGACTCCCGACGAGACTGTCGGTTAAAGTCGCCAACTTGGATTCTAACGTGCAACCGGGGTACTTGAATACTTTTTGTAAAAGCCATTTATATAGTTTATATTCGTATATACGCATATATAATGAAATAATGCACTTTGGTATGCTTGCAGGACGACAGTCGATGTGAGCAAAATATATTTACCGGCGAAGGCTGCTGTAGTGTACACGTCTACTTAAAAGTACATTATTCTTCTTAAGTATCATATTTTTATTCGTTAAAAATACTTTATTTGCACACTATGTGGACTATCAGTTCTTTTGGCAAATATAAGAGCAAGTAAATGATAATTGTTTCATTAATTCCGACTAGCACGCGTTCGTTGCATGCGATCTTGTTGAATATCTTACTGCCAACTGGCATTGTATCAACCGCCAGTATACACACGACAGCGAGCTCCACCGCGTAATTAACGCGCCGGTACATCGAGACGTTGTATTGATCGCAATAAACGCATGCGCTTTCATTAATCCGATCGCGCACTGGTGGGGTAATGCAACGCTACGTGAGAATAGTGCTGCGAGGCAGCTGCGAAGCTCGCGATAGTGCAAATCCATGATAGTATGACGGGAGCAGTGTTGCACGTGTTGACGAACGTTCGGCGAGGGTGACAGTAATCGTTCCCGATCCCGGGCTTCATCCCTTCACGGTACTTGACTTAACAGTATATACATCGAGAGCCGAGTCAATTACGAGACCTCCTCGCGCGCGAGAAACCGGGAGAGAACACGGTGTGTTTTGGTCGCTGGTCTACGTCGGCGGACTTAGACCATTTTATGCGATTTCCTGATCATTTCTTTCGTCTTATTTATCGTCGTTTTGTCTCCAACGAATATTTGCGAAAGGTAATAAGGTCTGGATATATACTCCGTCTTATTAACGTTGGTGTGTGTATTTTGCCGCGAATGGTAGGACTTGGCTGACAGAAACGTAGAGTATGTTTTGACAGCTGTGTTGCACCTTGTACATTGCTTCCCTCTGTATATTTTGCCCCATCGGCGCTCTTCATAAAAAAATATCTTTAAAAAAATATCTCAAAAGAAATATTTTTAGTAATTGTTAAATATCTAAAATACATTATCGGCTTGGTATTATTTCATGGAAATCAGGATCGAACATTTGATATTTAATAATTATTTTCTCGCGTCAGTAAATATTTGAGACATTCGAGTGTCCTCAGACTTTATCGTCGACGTTGCAAACTGTACAGAAATTATTAAAACGTTGACAGGATATCAATGTGTTTTAACATATGTTTTATTGCAAGTTTTATTTGAACATCTGTAAAAATTCACGCGAGCAAGCAGACCAGCGTACGTCGGAAAGCAATTCCTGGCAACTTGAAATTAAGAGATTACGCACGATTATTTGCATTAAAAAAACTGAACGAGAAATCTGCTTTGCGGTTTGGCGAAACGACCATGCAGTGCCGGCCTGCGAATTCACGGTCGCGAGTTTTATTAAGCGGCCGTTTTCCTGCAGACCGCTTATTGGTTTCTTGTAATATTTTATGCGGAACAAATTAAGTTGCGCCTTTACACCAAGGACACATTCGCCAACGATAACGATCACATTGACGACGACGGAACGTCGTTTGTTATGACGCCTATGCCGTTATGTCATAGAGACTCTATCACTTGCCGTCCCGTCACGCGTTTGCGAGTGACAGATCGCGTTTTGCAGCCCACGCGGCATCTGCGAATTCGTATTTTCGATCTGTCGTGTGTATTCATGACGCACTCGTCGCGAATGGAACGACGCGTCTCTCTCTCTCTCTCTCTCTCTCTCTCTCTCTCTCTCTCTCTCGCTCTCTCTTCTCATTGCGGATACTTAAAAGTGCCCGCACGCAAGTAAGCGCGTCCCGCATAGTGCGGGACAGCATAATATAGATAACGCTGCATTGCAGTTGTATACCACTGTGAAACGCAATCGCCCATATACCACGACATCACGCCCACATATGACACTCCCGCATAATCCGCTTGTCCGACACAACGAATCCACCATTGACGTTTGTTTGTTCGCTGTCTGTTGTTTGTTCGCTGGCCGTTGCACTTTGTAACGTGCGTCCTTCAGAGCACATATCTCTCCCTCTCTCTCCCTCCCTCTTTTTGTCTATCATACTTTTGCCTCATGAAATTCCATATCGCTCTGTGCAATAAAAACGTTCTCAGCTTCCCACTTCATCACGTGTCTTTTATGTTTTATCGTGCAAAAGAGAGAAACGAGTTTTCGCGATAGTTTCCTCCACGAAATCGATCGGGATAATAGGACGATCGTATTTCGGACGTTAGACGTATCCTTGACACAATTACTCGTGCGCGATATTGAGGCACGCTTACGTTCCCGCATTGCTCACTGCCCTACGTTAGTCTGAAATTCTCGCGGCGTCAAACTTGCCATAGAAATGTGAAAATCGATGATCTATATTTAGATATCGCGGAAAGAGAGAGAAGGAGGAAAGGGAGAGAGCGAGAGAAAGAGAAAGCTTTTCTTGCAGTTCTGTACACGGTAACATCCGGTAGCCCTTCATCGTGTATTCCGCTTCACTTTCATCGCCATCACGCAGCTCGTTATACGTAAGCCATTAAGCCCTTTGTGCTCCTAAAGGCCGGAGCACCATCGATAAATCGCTGATAATTTACGATCGCCCAGATACAATGTTGCAACCTTGCAACATCATGGTCATCGCAAAATTGCATGAAACTTTCCTGAAAGCTCGTGCTGGCTGGTTAAGAATAGCCGCATAGAGGATATCCGCGTCGATTTTTTATCTTATGCGGTCACCAATGCGCTGCGGTAGGCCAATTAGAAAAGTACTTTCGGTCCACACACATCCAGTCGTCGGCGAACGTTCGTCGCGAAACACGGACGCTCCGATTTTCCGTCGAGATCCCGCCGCCGTCGGTTTTGCCAACGTAACTATTTCTCTTTTATATATATTTATTCTATACATCCCTTTTCTCTCCTCTTTCTCTCTACGGAAAATCAAGTGAGAGCGCGTGTTCCTCATAATTGCAGCATTGAGCAGAAATTACCGCAAGTTTCGAGAACGGCGCCATGTGTGTTCGTTCACTCGTGATATCGTTCGGCATCCGGTTGGACGGGGGAGGACGTTAAACAAAGACTTCTCTCAAAGACCCTCGGGCGACAAAAAAGTGGAGCACGATAAAAATGGAATGTCCCTTCATATGACGTGACGTGACGTGTTCTTCTTTTTTGGCGTAAAACGCGAATGCAAAAGGTCGCGTGCAGCGCGGCGCGCTGTGATACGCGTTTGAACGCGAAACGTATTTAGATGCCTGTTGCGATTACGCTCAGTCGATGGATCGATTGATGCGTATTCCGTAGCTGACATGCTCTCTGGAAATACACTATCTGAGTGATAACTCCTCGGTTCGATCGGCAGTAGAAACACTCTGGTGGAGGTGTCACCGTTTCGCCGGTCGCGCACTCGTTCGCGCTGTCATCTTGGAGCTTTTCCGCCCTGACGCTGCCAACGCAAAAATAAGACAATAGGATATTTTTGATAATAAAAAGCCTGATAATAATTATCCGTGAAACCACACGTGTTTGCGACAGTATAAGAAGCTCCACGGTCGCCGATTAACTGCTGGCTCAATCAACGTAAGTCGCCATTTATTCTTCTTATTTTCGACTCGTCGTTTCTACTACGGAATATATCGCGTATGTTTCGCCACACAACGGTGGCGGTTTTCCAGCCTCACGATTTAAATATCACTTCCAGTCGATATCTCTTTTTCAATTACCTTCCGTTTTTCACTGCGATTCACCGTTATCGCGCGTACACGTGTATGCAGAGGTGTGTGGGTGGTCACGCTGTGGCCTATATACATCGGAAATGAAGCTTACGTCTCTTATCTGAAATTACTTTCAGCCTTACTCGTTTCGCAAGGACTATATCGAGACTGTAGCGAGCGAGGTGGGTCTCGCCGGTTCCGCCAATTGCTTGGCTGAAAACGACTGGCATATGCGCATATTTGCGACGCGAACTGCTTCGGCGAATTAGAAACCCTTTCCTGATCGATACTCCAGCGAGGTCTCAGTCGTGTGAAATCCGATTGTCAGAAGTTCCCCTCTCTCTCTCTCTCTCTCTCTCTCTCTCTCTTTCTCTCTATACTCTACTCTCTCTGTCGCCTCGCGACTTGGTGACGCGCGTAACGAATTCGACACTCAATTTCGCGCGTCGTCGACACGTTGCCTCTAAGCTCGATAATACATTTTCAAAGGAAGCGAAGTCGGTGATCCGTTCTATGCTAATGTACCAGATGTAATCTGCGGAGGTTTGCGTCACGCAAAACGCGTCAATTAAAATTGCAGATGCGAGACGAACGTTAGTAATTCTAAGTACTCACGGAGAGCGTTCTAATCCGATTGCTGTCGAGCGTACGTAACTAATAATCTTAATTTTCGATCTTGAACTTCTCCCGGTTTACATCTCTCACGAGCGACATCGCGGCAGGTATCGTTCGACATTAATTAACGATGGATTGAACAATTCATCGGCCGCGGCCACGACGAACGTTCTCTCCAGCGATAGCGATGTTAGGTCACGATTCTCGTGAGCATTCATCGGGTTAATTGCGATTTGTGCGCTTGTTGTAGACATGGTAGACGTTACAACAGCTTTGCCGACTAATGGAGGAGGGTCGTTAATTGGACGTACCAGAGGTGCTCTCAGGTCGGTGCGATCCGCCCTGGGCGGCAGCGGGGAGTATCTTCAGGGTCTAGGAAACAGAATAGGATCCGCTCTCAGTAGCAGCTTGGAGGAAAGCGAATTGACCACGACTCCGTCTTCGCCGTCGTCGCCGCCGCGAGCAGTACCGCCTATAAAGCCGCCTATCAAGTCGGAGGAGCAATTAGGGCGGCGGAAACTTCGGCTCCCGAGGTAAGATTTCCTTCGAAATTCGTTGGGTCCTCACACAGTCCTTGAGATAAATCGAGCCGACTAGAACGCAATCGACCGTGGCCGTACATAGCCTTGGAACGTAATTTTGCTGTAATGTAAATTTTAATCGCATGCGCAGCTATCAGCAAACGTTTAATATGCCGCGACACGACACGGCCAACAACGTGTTGACTGGCGTAGAATAATATTATAATGCTCCCGCCTCTCATGAATATTCGCCCGTCGACACGCCGATGTTTTATTCGTAGATTCGGCGCGGGATTATCTTACGAGGATTACGAGGCGATAGCGCGGCACAAATTGGAACGACAGGGAAGCACCAATATTTCCAGGTGTACGCGGAAGTATCCGCCCGGAATGACTTACGAGGAAATTGCGTCCTCGAGATCGGCCTCGAGCAAGAAGCAGGAGAGCCGAACGGAACAGGACGACATCAGTCCTGATCGAGACAGCCAGGAAAGTATAGAGCCCCTCCAAGAACAGGACATCAAAGCGACCGGACCTGATCCTTACGAGAAGTTGAATTACAAAGCAGGTGATTAATCCTCTTCGATAATTGCGCGCAGCAAATGTCCAGATCAATGACTCTACTCTTTGACGACAGTCATTGTCTTTTTATCTCTTTCTCTCTTTCTCTTGCTCTTTTTCTCACGATTGCCGCAACAATGCAGTAATCGGCATTCGGATGGAAATAATGTGGTGTGTTTTTCTTTTTTTTCACGAAGCGAGGGCGCCTACCCGCTATCAGACGATCGTTTTCCGTTTAGGTAAATTTAATGTCAGTGTGGATCCCCCTGCAGCTGTGTGATCTTACCTTACACGAATTTCCTCCGTGTATCACACACAATAGGAATGCTTGAAGCCCAAAGTATCGATACTTTCGCACATACTTTCGGTGTAAAGCGTAAATCAAAGCTGCGCGATCCTTTCTCCCAAGGAGCAACGTTACTTTTGCAGTTGGCGTATCGTAGCGTCGTGAATGCATCAATAATGCATGATTGCACACAATTTGACATCTCCGTTCAGCCGCTGATCCCGAGTCGAGGTATCGCCGCGCCGAAGGTACCTGTTGTTCGGACAAAGTATCGATACGTCGATGTTACCGTAAGCGTTTCTCGTCACGTGTCCGACTTTCCGACCCCAACCCGCTAGATGTAATTAGCGAATACTAGAGCGATCGATATTCGCTTGACCCGGTGTTCGAATATCTCTGAGTCGACTCCGGCGAGTCTTCGATTATTCACAGTTCGAAGAAACTGCTTGCGCGGAGCGCGCGTTACGTATACACGTAAGACACGATTCGACACTAGCATATTCGAACACGTCACAACACTCGTAGCTACCCTCCTACCACATCGACATTGCATCCCCTTGGTAAAATGTAGCTATATATGTGTGTGCGTGCGCGAGTATGTGCGCGCTCGCAAGCGCGCGTGTATGTGAGTGTTTTCACGCAAACTCTTTACCCATCCCGATTTTGTATTCGTGTGTACTGACACGGAGACATCTCCACTTTGTTATGCGCGAGCGAAAAAAGCTTCGTCGCGCATGATAGTAGCTGTTTTCCTGTGTGCGAGATAGGCAGTCGCAATTATCGTCGGATAATTACTTACATGTCCCGCGTTTCCGTAATGTTATACGATGCATCGTGTAATCGCCAAGACCATACATAGTATGGATAAAGTATAGATAAGAGCAATCATGTAACATGATGGGCACGAAAAGTACAATTTTCGGTGTCAAATAGCGTATCATTATAATAGCGACTGATACATTCCGCGGTTCCCATCTTGCGACAGCGTTTCTTGAGAACATTTTCGCGAAATGCGAATGATAACGAGATTAATGAATTTTTGAAATATGGTTCTCGTTTCGCCCGACATTCGGTTCGTCGCTGTCATCGCTGGCGTAGTATCGGGGAGTATCGGGAGTATAATTACATAAGAGTGGCCGAGTACGCTGTGTTGCGTAGTCTAGCGAACTTACCTACTCTTGTCGTTTGTCTCTGTCCGGCTAGTCGTTAGATTAGACACGACTGCAAGTTTGGGTGTCACCCTGCCGACAAACGTGACGCACCGTTGCTTGTGAAACGTTATATTCGTCCCAAGGCGCCCGCGGTTTCGATTTGATAGAACATACGCTTTATCTTGCAGACATACCTTGCAGCAGTGACTCTACTAGCGATCAAGACGGATACGGGCCCAGCACCAGTCTGGATTCCAATATGGACGGTCGCAGAGCGTGGCAGCGATCAGGTGACGATCTTCCTGATTTTAATTCAAAACAGCATTCGCTTTAATGTGTGCAAAAATGATTTTTAGTGTCCGGGCGAGCGCTTATATAGAGTATATAATTAATTCGTCGATATAAATAATTTTAATGAAGAAAATTTAAAGCATTATATGTAATGTATTGCATTATGTGCAATTAACGGTATCATTTTTACTTAGGATCATCAGGTTCTGTACAATCCTGGGCTTCGAGTTTATCGGCCGACAGCCAATCGGAGGAAGCAGCTGCAGACTTTATGAAGACTTTCGTGCCTCTTTTATTCGACGCTCCTAACAGTATCGATCAGGAGCAGAAGGCTAATTTCGGACAGATGGTCCTGGTAAGCTTCACACGAATATTACGAAACGTATATAACGATTGGCTGAGCATTATCCTGTGAAATATACATCAGGTCATCCCTCGCCATTCGAGCTATTTATAGCGTTCTCAGGAACACGTCAGACTCGGATAGCGAGGAATGAACGGAGCGAGTGAATCGCAAAATAAATACAAGTGATATAACGTACACGCTGTGAAGGTTGATTCGACGCTGTGATGAACTTGCAGGCAGAATCGGGAAGAATATGGTTCTCCAGAGTGGTGAACGCGAGAAGGGCGCGCGCTTGCGTCACGGAAGCTTCGTTCTACTCCTTGGCTCAGCACTTCGCGGTCGCGCTGTTCGAATGCCACGAGGCAGACGATTTTGCACCCGCTAAGAGTCTTATGAATATGTGCTTCACTTTTTATCACGAAGGTAATGAGAAATCATCATAAATAATTAATTTACAGGAGTCGTTAACGTTTTGACTGCCATGCTGACTCTTCCTTTGATTTGACCTCGAAGTTTAACTCAAATTTTAATTACCAAAAGTACGATGAATAAGTGCAACTCATTATTAATCAATAATTGCAATTTATTATATCCAATTGCTTATGTAAATTAATATCACCCGGTCATAGTGACGCACGCCGGTAATCTCCATGACAGTCAATAACACAATACAATCACAGAGTAAGTTAATAATTCGTCGAGATTACAAGACGTAAAGTGCGAGACTATCCTGGATGATTGTTTTCAGTGGAAGTCCCAGGACTAGAGCCATATCGCGAGTATCTCTACACGCACTTGCGCGTCCAACCGATATGGACATCTATGAGGTTTTGGACTGCTGCCTTCTTCGACGCGGTGCAATGCGAGCGAGCCTCCAGGCCGGTGCCACCACGACCAAAGTCCTTGGATCAAGAGAGCATCGCTGCCGAGGATCGAAGGTTTCAAGCTAACATCGTCTTCGGACAATTAGGGTGAGCGTTTCACATGAAAATTCATAATTATTCAACAATTTATCAGTTCAATTGTGCTCATTCTTCGACACACACCAATTCTTCCAGGACTTTTACATGCAATATGCATGCTTTCGGCCTGTCACGAGCTTTGTGCACCGAGTTCCTGCGGAAACAATGCATCATCGCGAATTTAACCAAAGGTAAGCGCCTTTTGCATTAAATACGATTTTTTATGGTACACGGAAAAAAGATTTGGTCATCAGTTGAATTAACTAAGTATCTGATTGAATATGAACGATCCAGAAATTCCGATTGAAGTAACTCGAATTCTGTTTAAGTCAACCAAAAATCTTGTTACCTTAAAAAGAATTCGGGTTACTTCAATCGAAATTTCTGGATCGTTTATATTCGACCAGATATTTGGTTAATTCAACCAAACCTTTTTTTCCGTGTATAATATAAATATATGTACGTAATATACGTAACGCTGTCGCTTCGTTTTCGCAGAGCAAGAGAAGATGCTACGAGACAACATTGATAGGATGTTCGACGAGACCGAGCCATGGCGGTAGTTCAGCTCGAGCGATTTGAACAGTCGCGGAAATTATCCTGGAGGAGTCATCCAATGTTTCTTCCTGTTTTCGGCAAAAACCGAATTATTCCCGAGCGTTCAGGAAGCGACGAGGTCAATTGCGAGTCCGATCTTGTTGATCGTAAACCGACATTTATTGAATCTTTCGTGGCATGCGAACCTGAACACGTCGCTTTCTGGGACGCGTTGCGCGGACTAGCCGTTCAATCTTATCAACAGTACCAAAGTTCTTACGGTTCCGATACAAAATATGTAAGATATTAGTACTAACGGGGCTTAAAGAGAATAAGAGCAGTTGAAACCTGAAGTCTGCGACGCGGGGAGAGATTTTGAGATAAAACGTTGAAACTTGATTATTCAGACTGCGATGATAAAGTTAAGCTTCGAAATGACAATAAAGTACGAAAGTGAGAGCTGCGTTGTTGGCAGTTTGATCAAAGTATAGTCGATCGATTTCTAAGTTCATAACATGCGAAAGAGATGTTCTCACTCTGATGAACAGCGTGTAACTCAACATACACCGTTGACTCTGGACGAGATCGCGTTTTATCGAATTTCTACGTGAAATTCCAGGTGAACATTTTGTTAGGCAATTTTTATCTCTCTCACACGTAGCCTATGCGATATCATATCTATAATTTTTTTTCCTTTTTTACTCTAGTTTGTCGCATAGTTATGGTACAGTCTCCCATCGCTTCTTTTCCGAATGATAGCGAAATTCTAAGCGCGTACAAATCCTAATGCGCGATACTTGCAATTTAGCGCAGACCATTTCCGATTTGAAGAATTACTTGACGCCTTTTCTAAAAACGGGACTCACTAAGATGTGAAGTATTTTCTTTCATTATTAAATGAAAGTGATGTCTCTTCCTCTAGTGATGAGTAACCAGTTGATTGTAATGAAGAGCTTGCGCATCCTGACAACTTGTCATCACACGCGACATAATCGTAACATCAGTACATCATTATGCGATGTAAATAATTTCAAAGGAACAGCTTGTACCTAATCACATATCATCAAATGCAGATCACACAACGCTATATATATTTTATTTTATATATATATATCTACCTGTGTGCGATATACATGCCTGCAAGTATGGAACAGTAAATTAAGCAAATACTTAAGATAAATAAATTTCATCATCGTATTTAAGCAGTTTATTAATGATCTCCTTTCATCATTACATTACTGGCGTGTAAAAATTTCCTGGATTTGCAAAGTTGTACGAGAAATTTTCATCACGTAATTATTTATTGATTCCTTCAACATCCTCGACTTTTTGTAAATTCTATTCGATCTCGATACTTTTTACAGGAAGACCCTTTTTGCTTTCCAAGCTGTTCGAAGCGTGTGATTTCAACAAGCTGGAAGTTCTTAATGGCCCTCTTGTAATGGAAAGCTTTTCGTCAATATTGCAGATCTTTCTGGGACTGAAACATTTAGTTTGAAAACTCGCTTGCTGTCGATCCTTAGAGAATATTTCCTCGCTGCCTCCCACGTTTAAAAATTTCCTTAGCTCCATTGGAATCTTCGTACACTTTTTGGATAAGAATTTATGATTTTTTTCTGAAACTTTTACATCTTTCACAATGGACTCGGTGGATGTTTCGCTGTACGATTCAGATTTCTCCGAAAGCTTCTCGAGAAACTCGCTCCCTCGAACCATTCTGCCGGGGAAATAATTCGGCACGACGTTGCTTCGAACAAATTTCGATTGTTTCGAATTATCGACGTCCAGAAGCTCGTGTCTACCTCTCGAAGAGTCTCCCGTTCGCTGCATATAGCTGAAATCGTAATCAAATATGCTCCTGGGGCTTCGAATGTTCTTCAAACTCGCTTCGATCAGATCTGCCAGGTCAAAATTGTTGTCTCTGACGACGAAAGGATTGTCGGAGAGTACTTTATCGTTATTGAATATTTCAGAACTGGTCACAGCTGCCTTCTTGGGCTTGACTTTCATTTTCGATCGCGGCTTACCGTGCAGACCTCGTGCCAAACCTGAGGAGGACTTGATATTACCTACAGTGCTTTTAGGCACCAAGGACGTTCTGGAAGCTATGTATTGCGTAGCGTCTTCTTGCGAGGTTATCTTGATCTTGTTATTTTTGTCGATATATTTTTCCGGCTTCTCCGATTTTCTGGTAAATCCTTCTCCATGCTTAGAAACACTTCTGGTGTTTCCTTTCGTCGTTATTCTAGACGCAATAAGCTTTTCATTTTTAACGCTCTTCTCACTTAGGCTGGATTCAGAATTAAAGCTTCTCAGGTTCTTTTTCAGTAGAAGTGATTTCTCCTTCTCCGTTTTCGTGTTTAAACCGCGAAATCGGGTATCAGGCGACGTTTTGGAAAACGAAGTAGTCGTTAGATTCGCGTTCGAAAATTCGGAGCGTAGTTTCGTCGCGATATTGACAGTTGAGACCGTGTTCGAGATCGGTTTCGACGCGTTGGTGGTTCTCAAAAGTGGTTTCTTAGTTTTCGCATCGTTTACATGTTTGATCAATGATTGCGTTCTAAGATTCTGCAAAATAGATTTATCTCGCGTCTTTATTAAATTTTTTTTTGTTTGTCGCATTAAGCTGCTATACCTTTTGGTCTTTCATTAGAGACGCCTGCATCTCTTTGTCTTTGTAGAGCTGCTTCCAGCCGTAAATCTCAACCTTCTCTCTTTGCCGGGTGTCAATTTTGGTGTTTTTATCTCTTTTATAGAGTATCTCCCAAATTAAATCTGTGTTGAATATCTGAAGAGAGACGAGTAGGAATAGACGTTAGAAATATAATAAGACTCTATTATATACATCATAGAGAAACTCTAATGTAATTCTAAACATATCAGTTTTCCTTTTGTGCAAATTAACCAAAACTAAATGAACTAATATCAAAGTTTCTTTAAATAAAAGCCGGCTCAAGAACAGTGTGAAGTAATTTCTCGCTATTAAATTTTATTTCCTGTGTTAAACTATAAAGAGACGATTGTCTCTTTTACCTCATAAGCGATACGCGATAACGAGGATAATTTGACGATATCTCTGTATTCCAAGTATCTTGATATTTTCCCGATTAAATATCCCGGCAAAGTCAAAAGAGTATTCCTGTTCCCTTCAACGATATTTTTAACGTGATTCAACACATGTTCACCTATAATATTAAGTATCTGTTAATGAGCAAGATTGACTTCTCGTCTGGAGTCAAATTCTTCACCAAACCCGTGGCGGATTTCGTCCTGCAATAATTTTTGCTGGCCAAATTTGGTGAACTTGGCGCGATGTACGATCGGCGCTTTGTGCGGTCCGTGGGAGATTTTCCACAAATACAAAATTACCTGAGAAACGTGAGGAGGTTACGGAAAGGAATGAGGATCAAGTGTTGCTAGTCTCACCTCGTCTTGGACGATCCTAAGACCGTAGTAATCCCTGCTGGGTGGAGGTGCCACTGAATACTTCACCAAGTATTCGTTCCTGCTATTCATGCTCGACGTGACCACGTCGAGAAAGTTTGGCTTGAACTCTGTCGTTGATCGGCTCCAACGCGGAAATTGGCACGAATATCGACTCGGAATGCGTTCACATAACTAATACTTCAATTCAACGTCAACGTCTTCATTCATTCATCACGATAAAAGATGTTTGAGTCAAAATTTACTTCTAATTCTGATATAACAATATTTGACTGCTACTTCATAATGTAAATAAATTTTGTGACAATCAACTTCACTGAAGAGAATTTTCTTCCAAAATTTTCCTGAGAATTTTTCCTGAGCATTTTTACGGAAGTAAACGCGTTTCGCTCGAAGAAGCGCGAATTCTTTAAAGCGGAAAAGAACACTCTCCCAGCATTGGCTTCGTGATATTTTATTACAATATTGTCCATATGAAGAGATGAAGATAAATATAGAAATGTCGAAGTAAAAATGGAAAGTCGTGTGGCATTACGTAGTAGTTGTAACGTAGCAATAACAATATACAAGGTAGGCTATATAGTAATATCACAATGCATGATTCACAATTTCGTAAAAGTCTAGAGAATAGAATATAAATCTAAGTAGAGGATGTTTTTTCTCATTTTTTTTCTTCTTGAATCGTCGCGCGCGCGTGTGCAGAAACGTACCGGACGTACGTACGCAATATATATCGATCGTTTAAAAAAACCTTCTATTTTACCTTTACCTTATACTTTCGAAAGTGGACACACTCGAGGTACGTGTCGATTCGTAGCGATTGTCGTCATTATCATCTCGCATGAAATAATTGATGTATGTTAATAACATTGGTGTATACATATATGTATATATAATACTTATACAGAAATGAGAGTGGATTTTCGACCATATATTATATAAGCTTATATCAAAAAATATGTCTAACAAATTCGTAAAAAATTGTCTCAATATACAACAGACAAGACACCTTCGAGGAATTATCTATTAGTTATTGTTATTAATATATATAGCGCGGCGGCAAAAGCGAGCTAATAAATTATTTTAGATCTCTCAGAAACGAGACTTCTTTTGGGAGTCTTCTTTATTTCTCTTTTCGACACTTGACCCTTCGGAACGACCGACGAAAACTCAACCATGAAAATAATAACGACAATCGCTTACCAACTATGTTTCTCGCAATATTTGTTCAATATTTGCTTGCGCGATTGATATGACGTTTCTAGCTCCTCAGGCGACCGCTGTGTTCTCGACGGTCTAGAGAACCGTCGTGAAAATAAATTATTATGTGCTAGCGTATAGTCGAAAAGTCTTACGAGCGACGGAATAAACCTAAGCGGTACAAAAAGATTTCGGGATTTCGGGCCACGCGCTCCGCCGCGGCCCGATCGTCGTTGTGTAATAAATTTTATACAGCGATCGTCGGTACGATCGGAAACATTCCCCGTGATTCATGATCGTGCAAATGACGTCAAAGAGCCCAAAGAGGATTTCGCCTGCATCCAAGAATACTTTGCATTCTTCCGAATGTCTCGCTGTGAATATCAAATTCTTTCTTTCTACAATCGCGCTCCTGCGCATGATTGTACCGGCAGACTCTCGTGGAACGTTCGTGGAGCGATTGCACCAGAGTAAAGTTACGTCGCGAATTAATCATCGAGGAACCGTCGGAAAACTCGACGCCTCCGTAATCCGCGCAATTTGAGATTTGAGACATCGATTCGACGCAAAATTTGCAAGTGTTACAAAATTCATAGATATATAGATTCGTATATAGATGCGCAAAAGGAGAGTCATTGGAGAAAAAGTCGATATACCGACTGTATTGAGTAAGCAAAGGTTTACCTCGTGTCATCAGCGTCTTCGTCGATGTCTCATGGCTTTCCACTTGGTGCATTCGCTCACTGACGTATCTTCATGCACGAGATTTCGATGCATCCACGTGAAGCGGAAGTAAGTCCCTTAATGAGTACAGGGAATATCGATTAAGTTTCGAATACTACTGAGAACCATTGACTTGATTTCAATCGTAATGAAATCGACCGGAACGTCAATAAAAAAAAATTATAGAATCCACGTGCGGTAGATTAAGGTTGAAATTTTAATCAACCTGACGTTTTGTTCGCGACATGTTGTACCACGCTCGATTATATTGCTCACGCTGACTGCGACAGATTGTGACGTTGAAACGTTTCAAGCGGGACTGCTTACTTCCGGTTGCCACGTGTATGCATTCGTATTTGTATACATAAATATGTGTGTATACATATATATATGTAAGTATACATAATATATATATTCGTACAATATTTTGGAAGAACAGATTTGCGTATTGTGATAGCGCGAAGAAGACCGACGTGCCTTATCGAGGAGACGCGATGTCCTTCTCTCTGAGATATGTCAACGGCCACCGGCGTGACCGCAAATCATCATCGTCAAATTTAGCTTTGTGAAATTTGTATGTGTCGCATTGGCTCAAGCGAATGTGTCTCTCAATTGATCCCGCTGTCCCGTCGATAAGACGCTCTGCAGAAGATTTCACGAGCACGGGATGCAAAAACGTGCTCGCACTGGAACTCTTAACTTAGACCTAAAAAGAGAGAAGTCACTCGCGAAAAGCCCCCGCCAAAACGAGATCGGAGGACAAGTTCGTTCGCGGTTCGATCGATCGACCCAATTTGCTCACAGGGCATTCCGTGAGTTCACGCGTCCTACGGATACTTTGTACGTCGGGTAGAGTCGTAGGGCCGAATCGAAGGACCACGTAGCGAGGACGACGAACGAGAGATCGACGTATAAAAGATTCGACCGACTAAAGTAACAGCTTACAGCGAGACCGACGAGTGTCCTTCTGCGACTTGGACGTGGAAAACATTAGAAACGTAAAAAAGAAAAAAGCAATACCGTATCGTCGGCGACTCTAATGTAAGTTGACAAGATCGAGAATATACGAACTTGAAATAAATTTCAAAATATTCTCAAGATTCGCAGTTATTAGGAGAAATTAAGGCTACTGCGTTCGATTTCGTCGTGTGACGTATGTCGTCGCTTAATAAATTGAAGGATTACTTGACACAGTTTCCGGCGAAACGCTAGAAATACAGAATCCCGTTCTCCAGGTCACAGAACGACAAGTTGCTTGTCTCCACGGTGTCAAGACGCTTCGCTGCTCCCACACGATTGCTCTCTACGATTGCTGCACGACCGATATCCCCGTCGACGCGATCGCCCTTCCGTCCATGCAGATGCTCGACGACGTCGTCGTCCGTTCGGAAGGCGCGGCCGCGACAGTCGGCTGCCTTTGCTCCATGTGATCGAGTGTCTTCTCGATGGCTCGCAGCCTCTTCTCCAGGCTGGTGGTGCCGAGGATGCCCACCTGCAACTGCGGCCCGAGCGGTAAGATCGCGAGCAGCCACCATGCCCACGAAGGACCGTCCGGCAGACGCGGCCAGTCCTCCTCCGTGTCCGGCATGCGGCCGAACACCCGCTTGATCTCGAACTTCTGCGTGCTCGGCACAGTATCCCACCACCTACGACCTTTCGCTCGCACCTGTAAAAACATAATGAGACACGTTTGAGATGGAGCGAAGCTCTTCTCTTTGTATTGCGAATGTATGAGAAGGAAAATTAAATTTGTTCGCGAACGGAATATAAAAGAACTGGGCGCTCTTCCAAAATTTATCTCTGTAGACTCAGAATTCCTTACCTTATCATGAAGCTCCAGAAGATTCAGCAGTTGAGCTTCTTGTACGACGGTGTCCCTGAGAAATTCCACCTGCGCCGTGTCGTAACCATCTTTCTCCCCGCCGGAAAGTACCCTAAATCTTTTACCGCCTACCGTGCTGAGAATACTGCAACCGTCCTTGAGCAATACTCGATCCCGAATGTCTAGGATAGTGCCGAACTCCGCATATCTGAGATGTTCGCATAGGATTATGATAAATACTATATATATATTGACTCGAGTTTAGATTCACGAGGGATTTACGTGTTTTCAACCCAAGTTCATCGTGCATCGAAACTTACCTCTTTGTGCCCGTCGCGTCTTTGTTGAGACACGCGGCGATGCCAAACTGGCGCACCCCGCTTTCCACGCATCTCCTGACCATCAGCCTGTATCTAGGCTCGTAGACGAAGAGGGGACAGGCGACGCACGGGAAGGCGGTCGTGCAAATGAAGATGGCGATCTGCTCGTTACCCAAAAGACCCAGTCCCTGGACCAGTTCGAGCTGATGACTCACCGCTCTGGAGGTATATTCCGCGGGCGCCACCGTTTTAAGCGCTCTTTCCACAAAGTCTGTCACGGTTTTCTGGCTGCTGGCTAGATACTGGAAGCAGAAGGCACAACATCTTGCATGATTCTTCGCGAGGAAAGCAAATCCATATCGAGTTACTACATCTTGCAGTGTCTTACTTGAAGACACTGGGAAAAGAAAATTTATTAAATTTATTTAACAAAATGGAGAAGATAATTATTGCTGTCTCGTTTTTCTTGAGTTTTTACAATAACCGTTTATTTCGGTATTCCCTGCTTCCGTCGAAAGATATTTCTCACGAATAGATCGACACAAAGCAGACCTCAGGATCCAACGAACTAATCAAGTGAGAGCGACGCAACAACGTAATCATCACGATACTGCCGGTTACACCCCCAATAGCAAAGAGAGCGTCGCAGGAAAAGTCTTTCTAGATAATCAAGCGAGATTATCGGAGATAGCACGAGGAAACGAGGAGCGGCGCGCCGCAAGATCACCGCCTTGACGTCGTTGTCCTCATCATCATTAGATATAATACTCGTATAGACGATCGGTAATGACGCTACGAACGCGGAAGCTCGCGACGACCGTCGCCTTCGACCGCAAACAATAATCATTTCGATCTGTGGCGTCGTTGCTAACCGCTAGGAAGCATTACGTCTCATTTACGAACAGGTGTTGTTGCAGATTCTCACGCCACGTGTTCGCCATATCGAGCTCTTCGCATAGACCCGCGACTGACGAGAGAATTTGAGCCCTTTCGAGCCTGTTGGGCTATACATATCTCATAGTAAATTGCAAAATTTGTAATCAATAGTATATAAGAAGATATAAGAGCGAATAAAAGCTCGCTCACCGGTTTTATAGTACAATAATGAAACAAATAAAAACGTTGCTTTTCTTCTTCAATGTCAGTCGAAATCAAATTTATTTAGTATAATCAGAGCAAAATTTGCTTTGTGTTAAGATTGATTTACTTTCTCCTACATGTAGTAATATATTTAAAGTTCTTCAGAAGAAGAAGTGGGAGAATCAAGGCGCACGTTGTAAATACCAGAGTTATTTTTCGCGAGCATATTTTTCATATAAATTAAGAGTTCTCTTACGTCGGCCAGCGATGTGACGCACAGGGGACAGGCTGAGGAGTAATCCAGGCAACGATCCAGACACATCCAGCAGTAGGTGTGACCACAAGGTGTCGTGACGGGTTTCCAGAGGAGCCGACAACACAGGATGCAATCCAATTCCCCGGCGTTGCCGCCGGAAAGCGGCGGCAGAAGGATTTCGGCGGGTTTCAGCTCGATTCCTGTAAGTGACGTCGTGCTTCGAGATACTCTCAAGAGGTATAATGGATGCGCTCGCGCATAGGAGAGACGATCGATGAAGCTTACTCACTTTTCAATTTTTCCACATCCTGATACAGCCGATCCAGACTCGCTTGCAGCTTCGTGTTGACTTGCGGCGGGATGGAGGAGCGAAGTCTCCTGCTTATCGTCTACGAAGCGAAGAACGATAAGGTGAAAGGTGAGATGAGTACTGCGAGCAATTATATAAAAAGGCTGGACGGGATTAGATACGTCGATCAACAAAAGGAAAATAAAAGACGGTTGGTTGTCCGGAATAACTGAACTAGATTGGAAGTAGCAGACCAAAATGACGAGAAGACAATTCAATTTTGGAAATTTCAATTGGTGTTTTTTGCGAGTGACGATTTCTTCCCTCGAGGTAAAACGAGGAGAGACCGGAGGACAGGGTTCTTTCGCACCTGAGAGAATTCCTCCTCACCGCTGCTGTTGTCCTCACAATCGGACCTGTTCAGGGCAGCGCGTCTGCTGCGCTTGGGATTCATTAACTGATGACGGCTCCTCGTGCGTGACGCGCTCTTCGTTAGACTGTATGGCGTGCGTGACGACAGGACGTTCTGTCGACATACTCCGGGTGACAGCACTCTGTGCAGGATCTGTAGCACGCGTTTAATTTATTAAAATCGAGTGAATATACTGAATGCAAAATGATTGTGTACAATTCACGTCCAGTCCGCGTTATACACTCAGATATGTTAATGTGGAAAGAATCATATAATCATAATTATTCCTCATGCAACCAGTTTCTAATTAATTCGCATACCGATTTCCTACATTGCAGAAGAACAAAACAGTTGTTCCAACTAAAATTACGATTGGCGCTAGCCGTATTTTTTGTAATAAAATGGCAGCGGTAACATGAGGTTATTATCACTAACACTATAATAGAATTTAATAAAAAGCGGTTTTTTTTACCATAACTCGTATAGTAATTATTCCTCTATGTGATTATAGTTACAAGCAAGAAACATTTCTTCATCGTACGAAACGAACGCACCGCGGATCGCACGCGAAGGGTCGACGCGTTAAAATATAATTTCAAGACGAGGAAACCGCCGTTTCTCGCTGGAAAGACGTAATCCTAAGATTCGACTCGTAATTACAAAACACACGATCGTTATCGCACAGTTACGCGCGCGATGACAAGCCGTTTGAATCGCCGAAGGATTCATATTGAAAATCGATAGACTGGCATCTCGGGCGCTGTCTTCATCCCAACGACGGGAATAAAGAGTGTCCCGTTGTTCCCTCAACGAGCTTCCGCGACTTCTCTTTCTTGTCACGTCCCGCGTACGGATACGTCCAAGATTAACGAGGAGCAAACCGGCCGCAAAATCGACGGCCGATTAACACGCGAAATAACACGCTGGCGAATGCGCGGGCGCGAGGGGACGTTTTCGGAGGATGAAAGTAAAAGTATGGCTACCGTAATGCGGACCCGACGGATTCAGCGGCACGGGAAAGAATGATTCCTCGATCTTACATAAGTGGCAGTGGAGCTTGCGTCAATGATTCCGCCATCGGCCGCGCGCTTACATAACAGTCGACGCTCCGAAATTCAACGCGCGCGCTCTTCTTTTTTTTTCTTTCCCTTCTTTCCTCGCTGCTTAATTATTTAACATAGAAATTCGACGCGTGACCTCTCGCGTTGAATTATTTCACGTTCATCGATTGTTACTACATAGAACGACGCGGTGTCTGCCGCGTGTGGCGTAAACTCGCGGATCTTCGCGTCTGACGCAACATTGCGAAGGCCGCTCGGGCAGCTTCCGATGCAGATTAGAACGCGCAATCAGACGCCGATGCTCGGCTATACGTTCGGTGACAAATCGATATTGTTTCGCGACTCTCTCGCCTCAGTTCTGCGAAAATTATCCGCGGCGCGGATTGCGCGCGCGAGCCGTGCGTCAACGTGTTCGGAATGAAAACGGAGATTCAACGGAGAAACAATGCGCGAGAAAGAGCCCGGGCAGGGCACCGTTAATACCGCAATGCCTGGGGAAATCTCCGCATTATGCGATTTCAGATGCAGACCGGCCCGTCGCAATTTGTCGAGAGACCGTAGAAAAACGGACGAGATCCTCGTGCCAAACAGCATACGAGCGAGACTCGCGTATGCAACGCTGTAAGGAAAAAGGGAAAAAGAAAAAAATCCGACGCAAAAGAAATTCTGCATTATGCACGCGAGGGTGGGAAACGCAGCGCGCGCGCGAGGTCGACCGCGTGCGTCACCCGGCGGAAGATCGATATATCGACGCCGAGCGGAACACGTGGCGCATTCGCCCGCGAGGAGCAGCGGCGGCTCGTTCTTTCGCTTCTTCGTTTGTTCGCTCGCTCACTCGCTCGCGCGAATGTGGTTATCGTTGCCCCCGGCGTGCGCGGGTCACTCACCTGACGACTATCGTACCGAGTCATTAAGCTGCACGGCCGGCAGTCGTGCCGGAAACGCCGCGGCGCGTGTTTCTTTTGTGTGTGTGTGTGTGTGTTGATGATGCTCCCCGGGTACGGCCGGTGCATCGGCTCGCCGCAGCCTTCGGCGCATTCCGTGGGTCGCGCGCGATCGCGATTCTCCCGCGCGGATTCCTAACTTATGAGCGGCGCTCGGGAATTTGCAGGCGATCCGAGAGATCGGGCGATTCAGCGGGAACCTGCCGTCCGCGATGCGCTCCGCACCATGGTGTTGCAGGGCTTACCTTGGTCAACTCGTGGCGCACAGCCTGCGGATTCTTGTCGATGGCCACGCCGATGCAGAGCGCGTAGAGCGCCTCCTCGTGCCTGCCGAGCGCTGACAGAGCGATCCCCCGTCTGTAGTGTCCCTGAACAGGCGAAAATGCAGCGCGTTACATATTAGCGTCGAATACCAACCAAAGCGAGATTAAATTTGAATTTGAAATCGAGACGCGCTCATCTCGTCACATGGCGCGACAAACGGCCGATTGTTGATGTTGGTTGGCCTGTGTTTTCTCACCTTGCCCCAGTCCGGCCGCAATCTAACTGCATGATCAGCGTCCGTGAGAGCGGCTGAAGGCCTATTCAACAGGAGCAAGACGTGAGCCCTGTTGCTAAGGTGGAGCGGGCTGTTCGGCGCTGAAACACGAGAGGAATGGACTCGTAAAACGTCTGTCGAATGGCGGGCGAGTTCCAGCCCGGGACACTTGAGGACTGGTCTCGTGGGAACCGCGCCAGTGAATCGTCGCGAATAAATTGATGCTACAGGCCGAATAGAAGTCGGCGCGAATCGAATCAGGCCGTCCACCAAGTGTCGAGATAGCTTCTCTTCTTCCTCTTCTCCTTCCTTTATTTCCTTCACGCGCGATTAACCGTGCGATTGTACCGTTTAATTCCGCGGAATCCTGTCTGGCGAAGAAAAACGCCTGCCATTTACGATGCGCGAGGCAGTGCATCGTTTCATGGAAGCGACCGCGGACGATGGCATCGGCCGATGCAGGCGGCGGTGCATCCTGGCATTGTGAGCAATGTCATTGCCTCCGCGGCTACAGTGCCTTGCTCGGTCGGAGGCGAATTTCCGGCGGCGCGTCAGCGTGCATCGCGAAATGCACTGCGCGCGCGCGCGAGAGAGAAAGAGAGAGAGAGAGAGAGAGAGAGAGAGAGGAAGAGAAAAAAAATGAGTCCCGTCGAGGCGTGACTCGCTCGCGGTCGTTCGCTCGATTTCGCGCGTAATAGCGTCAATTTAAGCGCGCGCGTCTTGCGCGCGTAATCTCCCGGGAGACGAGAAGCCGGACACGCTTCTCCGTAAACGTCTATTAACTGTAAAACGATGCACCACCTTGTGCACAGAGAGCCAGATCACGTGGCCCGATCGAGTCGGTTCCACGACGTTGCTCGAAAGAATCTCGAACACCCGGTATGTCGGACGTACACTGGGAGCGGTCTCCATAAGTTGGCTTATATAACTTGCCTTTGAGTGTTACGACGGCTCGTTTTAATTCAGAGACGCACCGCCGAGGAAGCCTAATCGCTGCGCGGGCATTGTCGTTATATGAGCCGCTTATTTTGCAAATAACGCAAATCGCACCACGGGAATCCCTTGAAGTTACACCGTCGCATCGCGCCGCCCTCGTGATTGATTTGAGTAAATTGGCCGCGGGCTGCCAAGCGAGCCACGGTGATACAGGTTCTTGTCGTCGAATTATCAACTTTGAACGCGAGATCGCCTTCGCGACGTTTTTCGTCCGTTCCGAAATTCGACGAGACGAGAAGCGCCGCGCGAGCTTCCCGCGACCGAGTGCACGTCGGTTACGTGTGCGCGTGTGCGAGGAAGCGCGATTTTCCGCGCGAATTGCCAAGTTGTAGGAAGCACGCGCAACGGGATATGCGGACAACAAACAAGTTCATTCATTAGCGCGATCGTTCCTCAAGCGCGTCGTAAAAAGCGCTCTTCCTGTCTACGCGATCGAATGCCAAGGTCCGCCTCGGATGATCGATCGCTCGCTCATCGCGGGTATTCGACCCGATCGTTAAAGCGCATGCCTCCCATCGGAGATCTTTCTCTCGGATAACCGATTGCCCTAATCAATGACGTGTCGGCTGCTTATGCTAACTAATCACATCGAATTGATTCTCGCGTGGCGTCAAGAGGACTTTTCGTATTCTTGGGAAGCGCTTGAACTCTCGATACTCCGGGAGATACTCGAGAACAAAATCTTTATTTCAACTTTATTGACTTTAAACATCCTCAACATCCAAAAATCAAAATGTCAAATTCTTGACTCCTCGAGTTCACGGAGAGAATATTACAGTTTTTCTTTTGATATTTGGTTTAATTTTACTATGTGTTTCTAGTAGTGCACAGTAAGACGTAATGTCGGTAAAGTCAATCTTGTTAGGGAACATAGTAAATTCCGCTGTGAGAAATATTTTAATAACACGCATTTCTCAATTTCCGAAATATAAAATAAAACATAAAATGAAAGGATAGTCAATTTGGTCCTCGATTACAAACTCAAATTATAGTAATTTTTAATGTTCTCCCCGTGTATGACTGTGTACGTTTTTTTTCTCAAATTTTTTTCATTCGTGAAATTAGCTGGCAGTTCTGGGAGTTCTAATTGAATTCTTCGCGGTTTATTTAGAACGTATTTTGCCGAGTTCTGCGCGATTAAGCGCGTTATCGTTGCAACTCACGGGATTCCTAAATCATACGAGTGTGCAGCAACATGCACCGAGAGGCTCGATGCCGCGTGTGCAACCAGGCGCGACAGACGGCTGCTGACCTTCGGTGGAAAGAAGAGTGGCGTGGAACGAGGGAAAAAGAGAGAGAGGAAAGGAGAGGGGCGGCCAGTTGGCGTGTTCGAGGAGCGAGTTAACGGAGCGTCATACGGAGGTCTGTTGTTGCGCGTCTCCACGTGAGAATCGGAGCAAGAACTGTTGCTGCACACGTCGCTGAGCTTGCACCGGCACTCGCGGGAATTGATGTCGCGCGTTCGAGTCAAAGCGGTTTCGCCAGTGTGCGCGAGGTCCCATTTCTGGACCGCAAACGACACGAGTGACAGATGTGACGAATCGGAGCGAAGATTCCTCCCGAAATCCATCGTCATCGATCCGCGCGAAACATTCCCCGCGCGCAACTCGCGATTTACGAGCGTGGAACTGTTGCGACGAGTTGCCTCGGCGAGTTGCACGCGGTGCACGTTGCAACCGCATCCGGCCGGCCGTCGACCAAGCGCGAAGGGAGAAGCGAAAGGCGGGAAGGGAAAGAAGCAACGAACGAGCGAACGAACGCGGCCTGCGTTCCGAACCGCGCCAGTGCAGTTGCAACTGTCGGCGCATCATCGTTGCAACGAGTAGACGTCACCCGTGCCGACGCAGCGCGGCGCGGTGCGGCGTAAACAGCCGCGCGTTACGTAAAGGTCGGTCACCCGACGCGTACTACTCCATCGCGCCGCCGCCGCCGCCGTCGTCGTTGTTGCTGGCATCGCATCGCTGGTATTCGAGCAATTTTCATCTTCGTTTTATGGCAAGGTTGCATCGATTATTCGATGCAGCAATAACGGCTCGGACAAATTGTAGAGCATAATTGCGGAATAAAAATTCGGTCACTGCACGTTCTGTTAGGAGCTTGCAAAAGAAACTCTTCCGATTTTCAGATATTTTTTGCTGTTATCGATAATAACGAAATAATATGTATATGTATGCTATGGCGAATTATATGTTATTGATAAAAATATATGTTATTTTTATTCACTAAACACAAAATGTCTCTGCCAGCTTTCAAGCAATTATTGGATTCCGCGCCAGTAAGGTGACTCATCTTTCGAGCCAATGAAATCATCCACGACCCAACGAATTTTCGCAATCCCCTGATGTATTGATTTACGATTGGAATATACGAACGATTATTTACTGTACGCGCATTGTCGCAGATTCCTTACTGAACTTCAGCTGTCACGTCTGGCTGACAATATCGACGAGCGTCAAGCATATCTGACAATTCACGACAGGCACATTGGATACAAAGTTTCTCCCAATTCGCAGTCAGCCACGTAGAAATTTGAGTTGTTAGTCAAAGAAGGTCGGGGTGAATGATCACGCGCGATACGGTAGACGAGCTGCGACGCCGACGTCTGCCGTCGTGTGGTCGCACATTGAGTTAAACTGAACGAGAAAGTCCTCTACTATTTTGCAAAACGCCACGTAGATTTTTAGTTGTCAATTAAAGAAGATTGGCGCATCATCGCGCATAATCATGCATCAATATCTTCTTTAACTAATGACTCAAAATTTCACGTGGTTGCGAAATGGTAGAGAAACTTTGTGACCTCGATTTAATCTGCACACAACGGGTGTATCGTCAATTGTCATATCCTGTACGATGTATGACTTTATTTATGTACAATAAATACAGTTAGATCTCGCGGGCAAAACAACGAGATATTTATAATATCCGAGAATGTCCGGAGGAGAAGATCGCCTGTGTAAAAGATACTGACACACCGAGCTTCTCGATTTCCTCAACAAACATGTTTGTAGAAAGAACGTGTGTGTGTGTGTGTGTGTGTGTGTGTGTGTGTGTACGTGCGTGTATGCGTGCCGTTAGATCAGCCGCGGACGGGGAGACGCTCTATTTGAGTCATCCAGCAGACACTAATGATGATCCGTCAGCCAGCGGGATGCACAATGTATCAGCGATGTGTGACATCTCGTTGGGTATCCATGTGCCGCGGGGGTCATAGACTTACATATATCTCGTCTTTCTATTCTGGCAACGATCAATAATGCTCCATGTGTCGTGTACGTGGCGGAGCGAACGTACGCCGTGGCTCTCCTCCTCCTCGCGGCACCTGCCAAATTATTCGGAGGTTTCTCTCGAACGTCTCACCTTGCATCATTCGCGTTAATCGAGTGTTTAGCCTTAACGATAAATCACCGGCAGGATGCAACGGCGAAAGATCGGATATATGTTTGTAAAAAACAGAAGAAAAAAGAAACTTTGCTAGTGAGTCCGCCGCGAATGCGAAATAATCTTCTCAGTTTTTCTTCTCCTTTCCACATTCTTTATTATTTTTTTTACTTATTTCTTGAACGAAACGAAAGCGCGACGGACACGTATGCCCATTCTTCGTCTTCATTCAACGAAAGGGGAACGGATTCCCGGAGGCGGGACGATTTCATCCGCGCGATTCGCGACATTCACGTGGAATTCGCGGCATTTCTATTTGCGGTCGCGTTCATTTCGGGTATACCGGTCGGAACGTTTCCAACGCTATTCGGGTCTACAATCGAAATTTCATTAATTTACGCCGTGTCGCGCGTTTCACGGGAACGGGATTGTACGATGGGGATCGGGACGAATGTCAATTTCAAATGACTCCGACGTGACTTTGAATCATCCTCTTGCCCGAAATAACTCGTACGCTCGGTCCAGCGAGCGGTTCCAGTTGAGTTACGTAAGAATGAAATGATCCCTGGCGGTGTCGCACGGCGGATCGTTTGCCAGACTTCGATTTAACGTAGAGAACGTTCGAGCCGGTTTCTGTCAAAACTTCGGAAACGAGTCACTCTCCAATGATCGCGCGCCAATAAGACGTGTAGGCAGGTCGCGCAAAAATTTCGCGTCGCGTATGCAG